AGGTGCAGGAGTCCCTTGATCTGAGTTTTGGTTCTCCGCTATCGTTGGAATTATCTACGGATCTGACCCACATGTAGAACACAACTGGAGTGATCCTAGGAATGACTCAACGTTTTTACAACAAATATTTTTTGAATGTCAATGTTAAAACCTTTAAACCAACGTTTTGTTCTAGAATCTTATTAACTACGTAAATTGCTATAATATTATAGCTCATATATATTTATACACCTTTTTTCGTAATATAAGACAATGTGAATTATACATGTAAATCCTGTTAAAACCAATTATACAAACCAAAATAAAAAAATATTTCATTAAAAAAAAACTTTCTACCTGATTGACTCCCTAGAGATGAAATAATATATAATTTACTTCCCAGTTATGAACTATCTTATTGACCCCCTAGCTCTGAAGTATCTACCTGATTGACCACCTAGCTATGAACTGCTACCTGATTCACCTCCTAGTTACAAACTATCTACTTGATTGACCCCCAAGCTCAAATCTATCTACCTGATTGACCCTCTGGATATAAAATTGATTCCTGATTGACCCCCCTTGCTATGAACTGCTACCTGATTCACCTCCAAGTTAGAAACTATCTTCTTGATTGACCCTCAAGCACAGATCTATTTACCTGAATGATCCTTTGCTATGAACTGCTACCTTAATGACCCCCTAGCCGTAAAATATCTACCTGATAGACCCTCTAGCCTATTAATTACTACCTGATAAACCTCCTAGCCATAAATGTTCGGCCTGATTGAGCATTTAACTATGAACTACCAGATTGACCCCCTAGCTGCGAACTGTCCACCTGATTGACCTCCTTGCTATCAATATACCTGATTGACCATTTAGCAATGAAATGCTAACTGTTTGACCTCTTAGCTATAAGCTTCACACTGTCTTCAATGAGTGCTTGCTCCATCTCTTCTCTGAGACTGGTTTCCTCAAGAAAGTCTCCTTTTCTACACTTAGAACAGTTCCTGCATGAGATACATCTGTATTGGATGTCAGCTCCTATATCCTCTGCTTCATAAAATCTCTTTTCCTTCTCCTTTAGGTTATAGGCTGTACAGCTCAATTTCCATTGTTTTGGAATTGTCCATTCACTAATTGAAGAGTAAGCCTCACAATGGTTTAAAGAGCATTTCATAACTGGAGGTATAACAGGCTTCAGTGTGTCTTCTTTCATTAGCTCTTCCAGATGAGATAACTTATCTTGGTTAATCCTCACCCAGGACATTTCCATTACATATGCCTTCGCTTCCATACTGAGGTACATTCTAGGGTTCATAAACATGCCTGTTTCATAAGCTGCTCTCCAGGCTTTGTGCGGACCACCAAGAATTCCTTGGCAACCTGTAGCTGAGGTGAACACAGCTCTATATATACCTAATCCTCCAGGTAGAGTGAACAAGAGCTTAGGGAAGTACTTATTGTATCTAATTCCTATCATCAAATCAACCTCAGTTCCACCAACAGTTTTATCTACAGTGGGAAGTTTCTGACCTTTGTGTTTTTCTTTATATTGGGTTTGTATTTCCTCCCAAGCTTCCTGCAGCTCATAGGCTGGAAAGGGGGAGGTGATGCTATACATTCTCAGGCCAGTAATTGTGGCTACTTAGTTTGAATTAGCTATTTCAAGATGGAACCTCTCATCTTCATGCTTAATTACAATAGAACCTCCACCAGAAACATCTAATATGGTTGGACCTGGTCTCACAACTTCAGTTTCTATTATCTCCGCAGCTCTGCTGGAAATTGCAGCTCCTTGGCACCCTGAGTCATAAAACATAAGTGCTTCATGGTTATCACTCAACTTGACATTTTGGAGAAGGAACAAAGAAGGTTCTTCAATGTCTGGCAAGTAAACCCTGTGTTCAGGTTGGCATTCATTATCTCCAGGTTTGGTCGCATACATCCTGGATGAGAAAAAGAACTTAATATTCCTAGGGTTTAGATTCTTAGGGAACTTGGTTTTATCAAGAGATTTGATGAACTCTTCCTCGAGTTTCTTGTTCTCATTCACATGGTAAGTACACATTGTAAAGTGATATTGTTTAGACTCTTCTCCTGCACATTGACCAGCTTGACAAATGTAATTGGTCTTGCAGGTTCTACTATGCTTCCTCCACCAATCTCTTCTGTTATCAAAGTCCACAGATGAGTCCATTCGCAAACACCTAAAACAAACCTTGGCTTGGCCTGTTAGAGTGTATCTATCTCTACCTTTGGAGTTCAAGAACTCTTCACAATAGTACAGGTGTGTATGGTATCCAGAGCATTGAGTACATTTTAGAGATCTTGGCTCTTTTCTAGACCTGGAGTCACTTGGCTGGTTTCCTTGCTTTGCATTGGAGGCTCTGGTGTCCTGGTTTGAGTAAGCTTTCTTGCCTTGATTCTTGGTTGCCGGCTCAAGCTTATCCTTCTTGATATTATCCAGGGAATTCACAGCAGACATTTCATAATTTATCTCAAAGGTTAGATGTTCAACAAACCTTCCCAAGAACACAACCAACTTCTCATAGATTACCTGCCTAGATAAGACACCATCAGAGTTTTCCTCCTCCTTCAACTCTTTTTGCATACCTTCATGAAGTTTATAAGGGAGATTTTTTATTATTTCAGGTACAATACTGCTGAAGTATAATTCATCCTCCAGTTTATAACTTTTAGCAAGAGTGTGGAGTGCGGCTAACTTTGCTTGAACATTTACTGCCCAATCCCTTTTCTTAAAATAGGATCCAGTACAGGTTCCAATCTTCTTTAACTCCTCAACCTTCAATTTCTCTCTCCTTCTTCTTCTTTTTCTTTCTTTTCTTGAGTTTAATTTCTTCTCCAATAATCCGAGACATCTGAGACATCTGTTCATCGTCCTCAATCTCTGCCTCCTGCTCCCCGATCTCTTCCTCCTGGTATTGTTCCTCCTTATCCTCGATCTCTTCCTCCTGGTACTGTTTGTCCTTATCCTCGATCTCCTCCTGGTACTGTTCCTCCTTATCCTCCATCTCCTCCTCCTGATACTGTTCCTCGGTCTCTTCCTCCATCTCAAACTCAACCATTGAAACAGCCTCATCCTTAATTTCTTCTGCAAGAGGTTGAGCTGGTTTAGTCGCCTTCTTCCTGGGTTTTGGTTTAGGTTTAGGTTTAGAATAACCATGAACAAGTTGCACATTCTTCAGATTATTATCCGAACCTGTATTCTAACCTCATGTAACAGTGGTGGCGACAGTTATAACATCAAGTTTGGTAGGAACATCATCAGAAAGTGAAACATCGCTCTGCTCCACCAGTGCAGCATCATGATTCTTGGTGATCTGATCGATGGATTCTTTAGCACTTTTTAGATTTTTGAAAAGTTTTCCTGTGGGTGAAATATAAGTATTCCATGAAGATTTTGCGGTTTTATGGTATATTCTCCTCCATCCTGGCCCCAACTCAGGAGCTGGAGTATCTTGAAGAGAGGCAGCGGAGTCATGGGGCTTGATGGCCAGAGGCTGGATATTGGAAAGATCCCCGAAGGATACGGTCGACAAATCATTTTTCAGCTTTTTCCTTGGTTCACTATCCGTCTCCACTTTTAGTTTCAAAGAATCAGGAGTCTTCTTTGTTCTAGCAAGGTTAGGGGTTGCATGACTAGGAGTTACAGCGGAAGCTTTATTAGGGGTTATCGCTGACTTTCTATAAGCAGGTGCAGGAGTCCCTTGATCTGAGTTTTGGTTCTCCGCTATCGTTGGAATTATCTACGGATCTGACCCACATGTAGAACACAACTGGAGTGATCCTAGGAATGACTCAACGTTTTTACAACAAATATTTTTTGAATGTCAATGTTAAAACCTTTAAACCAACGTTTTGTTCTAGAATCTTATTAACTACGTAAATTGCTATAATATTATAGCTCATATATATTTATACACCTTTTTTCGTAATCTAAGACAATGTGAATTATACATGTAAATCCTGTTAAAACCAATTATACAAACCAAAATAAAAAAATATTTCATTAAAAAAAAACTTTCTACCTGATTGACTCCCTAGAGATGAAATAATATATAATTTACTTCCCAGTTATGAACTATCTTATTGACCCCCTAGCTCTGAAGTATCTACCTGATTGACCACCTAGCTATGAACTGCTACCTGATTCACCTCCTAGTTACAAACTATCTACTTGATTGACCCCCAAGCTCAAATCTATCTACCTGATTGACCCTCTGGATATAAAATTGATTCCTGATTGACCCCCCTTGCTATGAACTGCTACCTGATTCACCTCCAAGTTAGAAACTATCTTCTTGATTGACCCTCAAGCACAGATCTATTTACCTGAATGACCCTTTGCTATGAACTGCTGCCTTAATGACCCCCTAGCCGTAAAATATCTACCTGATAGACCCCCTAGCTTATAAATTACTACCTGATAAACCTCCTAGCCATAAATGTTCAGCCTGATTGAGCACTTAACTATGAACTACCAGATTGACCCCCTAGCTGCGAACTATCCACCTGATTGACCTCCTTGCTATCAATCTACCTGATTGACCATTTAGCAATGAAATGCTAACTGTTTGACCTCTTAGCTATAAGCTAACTTGATTTACCTCCTAGCTATAATTGGCTTTGTTGATACATGTTATTATCAGGACCAACCCCTGTATATGCTATTGGTGGTTTGTGAGCATAGAAAACGGATAAAAAAAATATGCCGCGATTAGAACTTAAATTGCTAAAGCCTATAAGTACCTAAAACTAGTACTTATTGCCTAAAATGATTTTTTTTGTCAAAAAGTGAAATCAACTGTTATGGAAAAACTAATAAACGCAGTTTAATTGAATTTTAAAATCAAGCCTGGTAGCGGAAACACTCCATTTTTACATGTAGCTGATCCCAATAAGATAAAGGCCCAATTTTTCTTCAGGTTGCTCTACATATATATGTAGAGCACTGTCAACCATTGTAACCATTTGAGACTGGGTGCATGTTCAAATTCAGAAAAAAACAAAATTTACATAAATTTGGGTCACCAAAATGTACATGTACTAAACATTACATGTTTTACAGAGCTTAAATGTAAAATACTATAAATAAAATATATATGACGGGATGTCATCAAACGTAAACCCCCAGTGCTCACCGTTAGAAGAGTAGTGAGGTAAACCATCCGTCTGAACTGCATGAGACCTTTTCTCTTCTAATAACTAAAAACAAAATAATAAAATTAGAAAATTTTAGAACTTTTGTTGTAAAGTAACACAACTTGCTAAAATGGACAGCCAACCACTTTTTTAACTTAGGATAAAAGACAGAAACATAAATATTTTGATTGTTTTATCTTATTGTTGAGTTTACAAAGTCTAAATAAATATATTTTATTATTGAGTTTACAAAGTGTAATAAATGTATTTTATTATTGAGTTTACAAAGTGCAAATAAATATATTTATTATTGAGTTTACAAAGTGTAAATAAATATATTTTATTGTTAAATTTACAAAGTGTAAATGAATATATTTATTGTTAAGTTTACAAAGTGTAAATAAATATATTTTATTATTGAGTTTACAAAGTGTAATAAATGTATTTTATTATTGAGTTTACAATGTGCAAATAAATATATTTATTATTGAGTTTACAAAGTGTAAATAAATATATTTTATTGTTAAGTTTACAAAGTGTAAATAAATATATTTTTTTTGTTGAGTTTACAAAGTGTAAAAAAATGTATTTTGTTGTTAAGTTTACAAAGTGTAAATAAATATATTCTATTGTTAAGTTTACAAAGTGTAAATAAATATATTAATTATTGAGTTTACAAAGTGTAAATAAATGTATTTTATTGTTAAGTTTACGAAGTGTAAATAAATATATTTTATTGTTGAGTTTACAAAGTGTTGTTAAGTTTACAAAGTGTAAATAAATATATTTATTGTTAAGTTTACAAAGTGTAAATAAATATATCTATTGTTAAGTTTACAAAGTGTAAATAAATATATTACCTCCTTGTTTAATTTCCTGATGTTCTTGTATTTGAAAAATAAGTGTTTAAGTTTAAACACTTTATTCCCAGGGATTTTTGTGAACTCTCTGTACACTCTATCCCAAGCTCTAAAATTACGAATATTGGTTCATATCAAGGTGTCAATGATTTTGGAATTTATCTTTAAAGGGAGTGACCGGCTATGTAAGGTAATTGAACTGAGTATACAGTTTTGTGGAAAACTTCTTTCGGATTAATTTGAGACATATTAAACTTTTTTAAAGATCTGTAAATCCTGAGTTTGAACGCACATTCGATGTTCAAAACTCCTACTTTGGGGGTGGATACCTTTTCAGAATTAGATTTTTTTAAATTATTAAATAACGACGGCATAAACTGTAAAAAAGTTCTACATTAAACTACATACTTCACGTATAGGAACATGTTGAGAAAATAAAAATTAATCTTATCATCGAAAATATGTAATCTTAAGTTCAATTATTAGGCATTTGCCATTTTCAGTTGTGTGCACATGCCCCGTAAAATTCCAAAACAGAGAGAGAGAGGGGGATTGAATTTTGTAGATCCAGAAAAATAATATCTGTGGGATGCCTACATAGTGACTGGCAGCTGGTGGGGACATGTGGCCGCAGCGCTCGGCCCCCTAGCCTGTCCTAGCCACAGCGCTAGGTCCAGAAAGTGTCTTAACCTAACCTAACCCTAGATAAATACTAATTTAATTATTTTTCTGGATCTACAAAATTCAATCCCCCTCTCTCTGTTTTGGAATTTTACGGGGCATGTGCTCACAACAGAAAATGGCAAATCCCCAATTATTAGTTTCTATTTTCTCATTATTCTGGTTTCTCATTATTCACAAAGTTTTCGCAGATTTTCTAGAATTATTATTGAAAAGACATTTGAAGAATTTGAAGAAATCTGCGAATAAGTTCAAAGAAAATTAGAAATTTAATATAATAATGAAAACGAAATAACCGATTTTAGCATTGATTTATTGACAAATTTCTTTTGAGAAATATGTTCCTACCCATCTAATTAGATTACTGTATAATTTTTACTTTATTTTTCGTTGTTGTTATTTAATAATTTAAAAAAAACTAATTCTGAAAACGTATCCACCCCCCTAAGTAGGAGTTTTGAACGACGAATTTGCGCTCAAACTCAGGTTTTACAAATCTTTAAAGTTTAATATGTCTCAAATGAATCCGATAGAAGTTTTCTACAACGCAGCATACTCAGTTCAACTACCTTACATAGCCGGTCACTCCCTTTAAGAACATTTCCCTCATTTTTATCATCATAATATTAACAAGAATAATGCAAACCTGTAATTTTATGTAATAGAGCTCTTTGTTCATATAAATATATAACTATTGTTGTTAGCTATAGCTTGCTAACCGGTTGGACCAAAATGGCTGAAATTTTTCAAAATTCAAATTTTGATTTTTTCAAATTTTTATTTTTAGACTTTGCTTTTTGAAATTCCCCTGGGAACGCGGTCGCGAGGCACCTCATCAAGTCTTTTATACAAGATCGAGAATGTTTCTCGTTACAGTAGTATTTCACTCTCAACAATTTTGGAGTAACCTTTTTCTTAACAGTGAAATTTATTTACAAAAGCCATGAAAAAATATTCAAAATTATAATCTTTTAATTTATGTAACTTTAAAAAAGTGGAAATGAATTTGTATGAATACGGAAGCCTGGGCCCGCGATTTAAAAAACTCGGGAAAATACGGCTCGGGTCTAAGCTCTCTTTGGGCCTTATTTACGGCTTGAGATTTTGGATTCAAGCTGTATCTTATTTTCCCCAGAGTTGAGTTCAAAAGCCGGATTAATATTCTTTATGGTTGATTTTCATGGAAGGAATTGGCGCATTCCGTAGTTTTATGAGAACAAGACTATACATTGAGCCTTATTTTCTACTAAAACCAACCAAGTTCGGTTTTATTTCCACTGTACCTTACTCCTCAAGTCGAGCAGAAGATCTTGCAGCTGTCAATCGTCAGAGTTGGGTCGAAGATTGGGTCTTAAAGTCGGGTTTAAGGAATTACGACTCGAGCCGAAATTTTTAAATTGCCAGCTCTGGATCAGGAAAATTACCTTTCTTTCCTCTCTATCCCGACCTTAGTCTTGTTGTTGTTGAGGAGGATGGTGTAGATTTTTCCCCCATCCAGGGTTTTGATCAGATCTAAAACAATCAAACAATAAGTTCGGACTTGCGGACTGATCCAGGTTGTATTTTCCATTATATGATCCTAACAGGCCCCCTAGCCTAAGGCTCATATCTCATCTTTGGACCTGCTGCCGAGTGTTGTTACTGACTTTGTGTAAGACTTGGATACCAAGTGGCCTTTAAAATGCTATTAAAGGAACGATCGTTTTATTATAGGTGACTCTTCATTTAAAGACGACCATCAAATTTAAACAACTTTCTACGAAGATCTTGTAGCATAAATTCGCTCCGAAAGTGACTTTTACAGAAAGAAACGAAATTGAAATAAATAATTTTACAGAAAAACAATTTATTCTTGATTAGACCAAGCTTTTATGGGCACAACTGTGAATTGGACATGCCACTCTTTTTTTTAATGAAGGGTCACTAGAAATTACGTCCAGATTCCCACTCAAGTTTTACCATGGCACTTATTATTATTATTACTGTTATTATTACTATCAACTTACCGTCGATGTATCATGAACTGTTGGTTACGTTTGGAAGCATTAATTAATCAATTGTTTTTATTTTTATCAATTATCGATATGAGAAATAAAGAAAAAGAATAGAAGAAAAATAAGTTAACGATTATATACCCATGAGGCAAGCTGTCTGCTGCTCAGACCAGTTTGGTGCCCTTCGACGTTTTCCACCTCCACGCACAGATTTCACCAACCTTAAAATTTTGTTTAATAATTACAAAAGTTGAAAATTATTGGAAAATTAATGGAAAATTAATGGAACATGAATGGAAAATTAATGGAAAATTAATGGAAAATTAATGGAACATTAATGGAACATTAATGGAAAATTAATGGAACATTAATGGAAAATTAATGGAAAATTAATGGAAAATTAATGGAATATTAATGTATAATTAATGGAAAATTAATGGTAAATTAATGGAAAGTTAATGAATGATAAATAAATAATGACAAATTAATAAACAATCAATCGAAAATCAATGGGATATTAATGGGATATTACAATACTGAATACATACCTTCTTTTATTCCTTTCTTCATTAAAAAACATAATTGCAGCATTCCCCTCTTGATCTCTGGGTAGCTTATCAAACTCTAAAAAAAACATTATCATTTCGACTGAAAAACTGATGAGAAAATGTGCTGATAAGTGATTACCTGAGTTAGTTTCTATATTTTTGTTAAATCCCGAACTATCTGAAGATATCTGATCAAGATCAAGATCAGGAACTACTTCAAGATCTTCTTTAAAATCTTCTTCATTAAAACCAAGAGTATCACCAGCTTGATTAGTCCTCATCCAGTCTTCACCTTATTTATTAAATTATTTGTTTATTATGACGTATATGATGCCTCTAGGGGCGCCCCTCAGACCGATCCTCTTAAAGGGACTGAAAGCCTAATTTCAAGTAAAAAATAAAAGAATAATCAGAAAAAAACACTTATAGATAAAAACCCTCATTATTGATCAATGATCAATCAGATACAGTGTTCATGGGTACTGTTGTTAATCGGGCAATGCAATTTTTCTTTACAGTCTCTTTACTATCAAAGAAATACATATGCTTGGGATCGGGCTCTTATATAATGATTGTTCTAAACCTAGAAATGGCCCAATCTTGACACCGAGTGTCAATTTTGGGCCATTTAAATTTTCTTCTCACTGTAGTATGTTATCACTGATTATTATTATTTATTTTTACTATATTAAAGTTATTTTACAAAATAAAAATATTTGTTCTAATTTGAAATTATACTTAAAAATTTTAAATGAACAGTACTTAAAAGTTGCTTTTAACTACTAATCAAGATAAACTAACGTAGTAGATAGCAATTATACGGCTTAGTAATGTCTGGATTCAGGATTTCTACTTACCATTTGAAGAGTAATAAGGTAAACCATCTGCCTGAAACCTTCTCTCCTCTATTAACTAAATAATAAATAACAAGAGAATTTTTTAGAGAGGGGATGGGTGGGGGGGACAAAGTGTTATAATCTCCAGAAAATGTTAACAATTTGCAAATATGACTTAGTCGTAACAGTTACGACGCTATTTCAATAGAAAAATAGTTTTGACAAGACTCGTTGAATATTCTTAAAGACATTTACATACACACACGAGGATACAGAGCTGGGAACTTTCCTGTTAGATACTCACTATCCCGATCTACATACACACACGAGGATACAGAGCTGGGAACTTTTCTGTTAGATACTCACTATCCCGATCACTTAATCTCATTAAACACTTTTGGCACAATTAATTAATTTGAGGATTAATGCTTATCTGCTTAATCTCTCTTAAGTTCAGTTTTTCCTACCTTGCTTAAAGCTCACTTCAACCTCTGACTGGGTAGTGGGTAAGGTTACCATGCGAGAAATCGAATAAAGATTTATTTAATCTGCAGATTAAGAAAAGTTCCCAGCTGAGGAAACTCAAATATTCATCACCAAATCATTAATTTTAGTTTATAATGTTAACATGGCACTCTTATATTAACATGCATTATTTTTAGTGAAAAAACGACGAGCATATGCAAAGTCCTTTGATAATTTGAAATAAGTGAATTTTATAAAAAAAAAATTACAGAAAATAATTATAATTTTTTTATGTTGCTAATTTAATCATGTTCTAAAACCGATTTACCTCGTTCTTAATGTTCTTGTATTTGCAAAGGATGTGTTTAAGTTTAAAAACTTTATTCCCGGGGATTTTTCTGAACTCTCTGTACACTCTATCCCAAGCTCTACAAATAAAATGTTGGTCAAAAGGGGAAACCCGACCAAGAGCTCCCCCCCCCCCTCACTCTTCTGTCCCATAATCTCACAACACCGTTACAATATCAATCTATTATCTAATAGTATTTTTTTAACATTGGTAAATTATCAACGAGGCTGTGTGGTTGTCTATTTTCTAACAGTTGGATATTCAAAACATTTTCGAAGTCAACTTATTGGACATTATTCTGTTACCTCTTCTTTCTCTCTTTTCCCTTCATGGTCTTCTTAGGATCAAGAATTGCAGTGTAAATGTCACCTCCATCTAGGTTTTTTATCAGATCTAAAAATGAATTAATGAGAAAACTGAAATATATAGAAAACATTTTAGTCAAGCGCATCTGATAGATTTTAATAAATTGTACTAACATATCTATAAAAGTTCAGGAAAAGATGGGAGGAGATTTGATTTTGATTTTGATAAAATTCGGTAAGTACATAAATATATGGAATTAGATAATAAATACCCTTTAGGCAGGTTGACTGTCGGTCAGACCAGTTCGGGGCCCTCACACGTATCTCATCTTCACTCTTAGAGTTCATCAAACTTAATATGGTTATTATTAACATAATGTACACAACTCACTCAACCATACTTTTTTTTGGGTTGCAGGGGTGTATGATTTACCCCCCCCCCCCATGATGTTTGATGATATGGGGGGGGGGGGGATTAAATACGAGACAATTAAAGGCCAGTTTTGGTATTTTTTTTGGTTGTTTACATAAATCCAGGGTTTAAATTTTCAATGTTTAAATTTTAGAATCTTAGGGGGGTAAAACTGTTTTGTATAAATATAATTTTCACTTAACTATTATTTTTCTTTCCTTTTTATATATTTGTTTCGTCCCAATTTATATGTAACAAAAGAATATTTTAATATAAATATTACATACCTCCCTTCTTCTATTTCATGCTTTTTTGAAACGTTTGTTTCTTTATCTATAGGTAACGTTTCATCTCCATCTACAATAGGTGTTGTTAATCGTTTGGAATCGTTTAAAAAAAATGCAAAGATTTAAAAACTTTATTATATTAAATTTTTTTTAAAAACTTTGAAATTTCTTTATCCTAAAAAATAAGGAAAAAGAAATCCAAAACCGATCGTTATACAACATGTTTGTGGTTCCATCGTTTTTGAGTCGTTTTCTTGCATATATTTTCAGTCCGGGTCATATTTGACGTACATATGTAAAAAATTTTTGAAAACATTAGCTCTTTTGATATCATACCAAATTATTACCATAAAGGCTAAAAACGATCCAAAGTAAAAAAATAACTGAAATCACATTACTTTCTACAACGATTGAAATTTTAGTGAGTCACGTAATTAAATGGTAAGATGTTTTAATCACCTGAAGAACTTTGTGGTGTCATTTCTTCTACGTTCTTGGATTTAAAACAATCTGAGGAGAGTTGATCCAAATTCATATCAGGAACTAAACTATCATCTTCATCATCTAGTTCAAGAGTATCACAAACTTGATCATTCTTTAACCAGTCTAGTCCTTGTTGATAAACTGAATTAATGTCTATAATATGCTGCCTTGCTGTATTTAAAGCCAGCTCTTTATAATCTTCTCTTGTCCCTGGATCTACTTGTTGGATCTGTTGTATAACAAGAAGGTTATCCTCTAGTCCATGTTGAAGGTTCAGTATATCAACAAGAATATCTCGAAGGATCCCTTTTTCTTCGGTTGAGCATTTAAAACACTGGATAAATCAAAGATTTTGAAGCTAAACTCAGAAAAAACAGGGACTAACACTTTTAGCTAGAATAGGTCATAGCCATTAGCCACATCCACTCAATTATTTTAGATTCCGGGATATACAAGAAAATAGCCAAAAAAAAGACATGAAATGATTTTAAGAAAAGATGTGGCTGAGTCTGACGATATAAAACCAGCCGGGGGGGGCCGGGAATGCTGACCGAGTATAAAAAATAATAAGAAGAATGTTTCAGAAAAGTAAATTGATGTTTTTACAAGAGAAAAAAAGGATTCAGGACATGTATAGGATATTGGATCCCGGACTCCTTCTCCCCCCCTTGCCTGTAATTTTTATGCAATACTTTTAGTTTTTTTAAACATCATTTATGTTAGGTAATGTTGAGAGGACAATTTTGGCCTTAGCGCTGCCTGATTAGTCTATAAAAAAACCAAATAAGAATTTGTTTTCATCATTCGTTATAAAACTTTCCAANAGTGGATTCCGAATTCAGAGGTTACAATACTAGACATACAGGTAACTGTATGAGCAGATCGGGGGGCAAACTTGGCGCAAAGGAACTCTGATCTTCTACTTCCATTATCTTTGCAAACCGAATTCATAGACCTTTGATATTTCAAACTATTAATTCTGTAAGATAAAATGGTTTAGGTTTGAAATGTTAAAGGTTTACATCATCAGGTTTCAAAGAGTTATGGATTAGAAAATTTAATTTTGTGGAAAAAAATCAATTCCTTTACTACATAAGTATACTTAGTCAATTTTTTGACCAAAACCGTTTTAAAAGTAACCCGCTTTTTTTTAATAACATTCAAAAATCATCCTTCAGTCTTTTTCTATGAGATAAAACTTAAAAATCTCCTAATATCAATGTTTATCCCTGAAGTTGATGAACAAGGTCCAATCTTACACTGTTAAGTTCTGCTTTATCCAATGTCTCAAAAGGTAACATTTTTACCTGAAATATTAAGAAATAAGAATATGTGTAAATTTAAATACAAGTGACAAATTTAAGCTAATTCAGGTTTTTTTTTACAATTGAATAGGTTTTAAACATTTAGAGGTGAATGGTGTATATAATAATATCTCATTAACGGATTTTCAATTTATGATTATATTTTATACTAGCTGAAGGGCCCAGCTTACCCATGGAAAAAATTTAATTTTTTAAAAAATCGATTTTTTTTAGTCTTTAACACCCGCCGACAACCCAAAAAATGTCAGTCCATTAGGTCTAGCCGTTTGGTCGGCTATAAGGAACATATATGAATGTCTTGTTTTATTATAGATTTTGATTCTGTAATTTTAGGAAGAAAGTAATTGGACGGCGTCCATATTAATAAAGCAGTAATTTCTGCATGTATATTTGTTTGTTAAACCTGGGTGAGTACGAGGAAGTGTAATTTCCAGACAAAACTGGGTTCCCAGGCTAGATAAAAAATAGTGTAAACATTAGAGTAAACTTTTTGAAAAAAGACAAAAAATAACAATATAATACATTCTTGTATTTAATGAATTTTGATTAACTGTTGTGTAAATTATTAGGTTTGTTGTCACTAGTAAAATTAAGTTATTGACTTAAAAAGTGAAAAAGTTGAAGTTATATTTTTTTTTGATTAATCACTCAATAGAATATTAAATTAGTCAAAGTCTAAAGATTTATAAGTCTTTTTTTCAGTAGTTTTCCTTGTAAATAAATATCTTAAATGGTGCCATTACATACAAATATTATAAATCATTACTTTTTCATTGAAATTTATTGTTTGTATATTGGAGTTTGATTAAAATTAACCCGTGGGCTTTCGTTTTCAAATAATGCTATTTTGATTTTTTTCAAATTGAGTGCTTAAAATAAAAATAAATTTTCTACTTTTTCGGTTTAGATTGTTGCGCTTGTTAGGGTCCATTTAAAGACACTTTTAAGTTTAGTTACAAACAAAAACACTGTTTTTAACACTTTTCGGCAAAAGTCTTTGACAAAGACATAGTTGCACTGTAAAGCTTTTGAATTTTTTACTTCACATAAATTAAGTGAAATTAACATATGACATTGACTTTAAAAGTTCCGAAGTGCTTGGCGTCTTTAATTAATATACTATTTATACTTAAAATGTTAAGAACCTTTAAAAAAACACTGATTAAACTGTTTGTACTATAATGAGGTAAATTAAAATAATTTGAAATGAAAAATTCACAGCCTATTCTACGTTATGTTATTTAAGAAACACTAGATGATGTAAAGTCACGACATCAGAGATCAAACTAATAAACAATGAATAAGTTTTTTTTTAATGTTTTTAATTTATGTTCATTGGAAATCTAAAAATCTAAAAAAGATTTAAGTAAAGCCTTTATCAAATGCTATGTTTACTTTTTAAATGCCTTGCAAGACTGCTATGAGTGGTAAATGTATTGTCGCATTGATTGCAGGGATATTTAACCCCCTCATGTTTTACTTCAATGTGTCTCTTTAAAGAATCCTTAATGTGCGTCACATAGTCGCACTGATCACACATAAAACTCTTAGACTTTTCGTGAACTTTCTGAATGTGACTTTTTAAGTGTCGCGATAGGGCCCCGACATAATCACACTTGTTACAGGGATATTTCACATCTTCGTGCTTGCTTCCAACGTGTAATTTCAAATTTTGCATTGCCGAAGACGAGTATTCACACTGATCACAAAAATACCGGATATCACTGTGCATTCGTTCCTTGTGCTTTCTCAGCGTTATAATCTCCATCGCCTGATATTCACATTGATCACAGGGATACCTAACACCCTCGTGTTTGCTCTGCTTGTGTGTATTCAAATATATCTTTCGTGTTGCCACATATTCACACAGGTCACAGGGAAAACGTTCTCCGTCGTGCATGTTTTCTTTGTGACTCTTGAGTAGATGTTTCTTCTTCGTTGAGTAAGTACATTGATCACAGTTTAGAACTAAATATTTGAAAAATTGAAACAAGATTAAAAAAATTTCAAGGGACTTTTACAGTGGCCGAAATAATTCTTAAAACTACCCTTACAAATTATTTGACAAATCTCGGCAATTTTCTTTCTCTTTTTTGCTCACCCGAAGAACGTGATTTACTATGTTTAACTTTCTGAGACAACATTTTATGAATAATGAGAAGTCCTTTAGCTAAGAAGGCTGCGTTGAACTTGAACTGGCCAATCAACAGAAGTGGATTAATTCAACCATATATACATAGTTCAACCATATATACGTTGTTCAACAATATTTACGTAGTTTAGCCATATTTACGTAGTTTAAACCATATTTACGTAGTTCAACCATATTTACGTAGTTCAGACATATTTACGTAGTTCAACCATATTTACGCAGTTTAAACCATATTTACGTAGTTCAACCATATTAACGTAGTTCAGCCATATTTACGTAGTTCAACCATATTTACGTAGTTTAAACCATATATAAGTTGTTCAATCATATTTACGTAGTTTAACCATATTTACGTAGTTAAACCATATTTACGTAGTTCAACCATATTAACGTAGTTCAGCCATATTTACGTAGTTCAACCATAATTACGTAGTTCAACAATATTTACGTAGTTCAACCATATTTACGTAGTTCAACAATATTTACGTAGTTCAACCATATTTACGTAGTTCAACCATATTTACGTAGTTAAACCATATTTACGTCGTTTAACCATATACATGTAGGTTAACCATTTATACATTGTACAGCCATATTTACGTAGTTTTAACCATATATAAGTTGTTAAACCATATTTACGTAGTTCAACCATATATACGTTGTTAAACCATATTTACGGAGTTCAACCATACTTACGTAGTTCAACCATATTTACGTAGTTCAACCATATTTACGAAGTTCAACAATAATGAGTTTCCTAAAGGTTAAAGTTTAGCAATAAAAACTTCAGAAAGTGCTTACTGCTTGTGCTTAAATAATATTTTTTTGATGGTTATTGTATCGTTAGAACTGACGAGGGTCAACCCAATAAATGTGGAACTAACATCTACTTTTTTTACTCTACAGAGCTTTGGTCCATCCCCATCACCGAATTTTAAATATTTTTTNGGGGGTAAAGAGAAAAAACATCATTATTAGTTTAAGAGAGTCTTTAAATATTTATTTTTGAAGCTGCTTCTTCAAGGTCTTCCCAAGTTTCTATTTTCTACCTGCTAAACCTTAATGATTTTCATTCTAAATACATAGAAAATGTCTTATTTACTTTATATTTTACTTTGTAGAAGGTTTATAATTCATACCTGTATCCATATCGTCTTTTCGATCCGGTTCCAGGCCATGATCATCCTTCATGTGTTTCTTCAAACTGAACTGTGTGCTACAGATTATACCACACATATCACAGGGATAGTTCACGTCGTGGATGGTTCTCTTGTGTCGTTGCAAGTTAGAACTGTCGTTAAAAATAAATTCGCACAAGTCACATTGGAAACGAGGCCCATCTGATCCACTGTGCATTGTTCGCATGTGTCGTTTTAAATTTCCTTTATCATTGCACACAAACTCACATTTATCACATGGATACTCAACTCCTTCATGAATACTCAACTTGTGATTCTTTAAAGTATTTTTGGCTGCTCCCACGAAATCACAGAGGTCACATTCAAAGTACTTAGCTTCATGTTCCCTTAGCTTGTGCTTTTTCAATTCATTCAGTTTAAACGCAATAAAGTCGCATTTAAAACAGGGATACTCTTCTGGTAAATCATCGGGATCTAACAACAATAAAAATCAAATAAGGCCTTATAAATAAGATCTTAATCTTATTGTATATTAGTATCTATGTATTGTATGTATATATGACGGATTTTGGTAATGTCGATTTGGTAATGACAATTTGGTAAGGTGACAATTTGGTAATGACATTTCGGTAACGTCATAAAAGTGACAATCTGGTTATGAAAATTTGGTAATGACAATTTGTTAACGACATATACTACTGCAATGTAACTAATACGGCTTGAAGAGGCTAAATTCTTATAATATTAACGTACTTCAGTTATGTTAAGGCCCAACCTCAAGTTTAAACAAAGAAAATCAGCGAACATGTTAATAAAACAGCCGGAAGTCTCCCTCACTATGAAGGAAACGCAAAATTGTCTAGTATGTTGTTAAGAAAATAAAAAGTAATACCTTTATCTTTATAATTTTGTTCTTGTAGACACTGTTTTCTTCTTTGATGCTTTTTAAAATTAAATAGATCACTGCAGGAGAAATCACAATCATCACAGGTATATTTACTTTCTTTATGTTTGCTTCTATTGTGAAGTTTTAATTTCCACTTTGAAGTCCCAACATAGTCACACTTTTTACATAAAAATTCCTTCTTATTGTGTTCAGATTCTACATGATGTTTCAAGTTGAGTTTACTGGTACTAACATAGTCGCACTCTTCGCATTCTTCAAACAATTTCTCCTCTTCCTTGCCATCTGAAACATGGGTGTCAATTTTCTTGAAAAATCATTCCCCCCCCCCTTTTATGAGAATAATTTTTTCTCCAGAAGGTAGGTATGCTTGGGCGTAAAGCAAAATATTTTTTATAGGTTTTTTTCGCTGAATTAGGGGAAATAAATTACTTTTGGGGGGAACATATTTCATAGGAGAAACAAGTTTTTTAGACCCAAAACATATAAACCATTCTTGAAATTACACATCCCTGAACTGCAATATGAGACCTATGATATATGTAGAAAGGAACTATTGATAATTCTAATTAATTTCCAAAAAGTTATAATTATTGTTAATTTAAAAATCGACTACGCTTAATTTTTAAATGAAAACTATTTTCAGGGGAACGGATTACTTACCTCATAATCTAATTTTTTTGGTTTTATAATATTTCCCACTAGATTAAATAGGATAGGTTCAAAAAGTTTTTTGTTTTCAAGCTTTATGTTTTTGAACCTATCCTATTTAATCTAGTGGGAAATATTATAAACCAAAAAAATTAGATTATGAGGCAAGTAATCCGTTCCCCTGAAAATAGTTTTCATTTAAAAATTAAGCGTAGTCGATTTTTAAATTAACAATAATTATAACTTTTTGGAAATTAATTAGAATTATCATTTTTTTCTACAAAAAACCTTTAACAATTTAGAACGTCAAACAATTTTTAATTGCAATTATTATTTACCTTTTAAATGTTCTTTTTCATCTTTAACCCTAGAAGACTCTGACTGATTTTGCTGCACGGCTTTTACAGGAAGATCATCCATATCCTCCACTGCAACCTTAATATCTTCAAACTCAATCAAAGCATCATCGCCATCCTCTCTCTCCTCCACCTCACGCCCTGGAAGAATGAATTTCATCCCTAAACCAGGATCAAAACTAAACCAATTCAATCCCAGTTTATACATTTTGGTTGTACACGCTATATGATGTCTGGCAGTGTTTACAAGCAAAGTTTTTATATCTGCTATGTTATAGTGTTCAAACAGATGGATTTCTTCAATAAGATGAAGAAAATCTTCCAATCCATGTTTCAGGTTTAGTATATCAATCAGTAAATATTGAAGTATTCGTTGCTCTTCAGACATACATTCATAATTCTAGAATAAATATTAAATATAGAAACGTGTTAAAATGATATCCTAACTCTTTTTAATTAATTATATGAAAAAATGGCATTATATTAAACACCATTAGAGAGACTAGAGAAGTAATTTAAAGTGACCCTTAATTTAAAAATAAAAAATAGAAAGTGACATGTACGATTCACGCAGGTACCCTTTAAACCTTTGTTTATAGCTCGGGAACTTAATCATTTCAAATTTGGTTTTCTCCATGTAAGTGACTTGCAGATACAATCATAGAAATTGTCAAATTCAATAAGTTTGAATTGTTATTTAGACAGAAGTTTAAATGGTACCTTTCAGAATGGGACTCTTTAAATGGCCTGGAGAGCCTCCAGAAATGATATATAAAGTCTCTTTAAAAGTTGGACGCGGTTAAAACCAAACAAACTCTTCAACAAAGGGTAATTGGTGCTACACCATTGGTTATTACGAGAACACTTCCTGAGATGGAATTTGTAGAATTTGAGCCGCGGTTTAAATCCGCAAAAAACCGGTTTAAATTAAGTGGAGCCAATCATATTTAAACCGCGGCTTAAATTTAAACCGCCGCTCAAATTCTGTAAATTTGGCCATCGTAAACTTAAAAAATTAATTAATTTCTATATTTATCCCTGAAGCTTTTCCAGTAGTTCTAATCTTTGCTTCTTTATCTCCGTTTTATCCGGATTTTCGGAGGAGATTTTCCCCGGGTTTTCGGAGGAGATTTTCTCAAAACTGTCCGAGGAAATAAACATTTTAATCGAAAGATATTCAAAGCATCTGAAAGAATCCAGTTAAGTTTTAATTTATAAATGTTTTTTTGAGTATTAAAAGTAATTATGTTAAAAATAAGCTAGAACCATTAGTCTTTGGTGAACAAAATTAAGAATCAGTTTTAGGGTACGTCACCTTTGGTAAAATTGGGGGGACTTTCCCTTCTCTGGAAATATTGGTGGCTTTACTATGGAGAGCCAGTGGCGCCCCATTATTAGTGAGAATTATTTAAATTTTGATTTATATTTTACATAAGGGATCAAAATATTAAATAAAATGTAAAAGGTTCAGCTTTTATGTTTACTTTTAATATGCCTTCTCAAGTTTCTTAGATTTGTAAATGAAAAATCGCATTGATCACAAGGGTGCTTCCGTCCTTCATGTCTTTCCTCTATGTGGCGTTTTAATGAATATTTACAGGTAGAGATATATTCACATTGGTCACAGGGAAACCTGACTCCTTCATGCACCTTCCGTTTGTGTTTAAACAGATCACTTGCTAGTTTTCCAACATATTCACATTTAGAACAGGGAAATCTAACTCCTTCGTGTTTGCTCTTGATGTGTCGGGATAAATCTTGCATTGTTGTCGATGCATACTCACATTGATCACAGAAATAATTAATAGAGCCATGTTTTCTTTCTTGGTGTCTCTTCAAGGTGTAGATTTCTAACGCTTGATAATCACATTCGGTGCAAGGAAATCTAACTCCTTGATGTCTACTCTTTATGTGCACTTTCAGATATACTTTTCTTCCTGTCTCGTAATCACAGAGGTCACATCGAAATTTATCTTTTTCGTGAATATCTCTTCTATGTTCTCTCAAGCGAACTTTCTTGAAGGTTGAATAAACGCATTGGTCACAATAGTAAACCGTCTCCTTGTCGTCCACAACTTCTGAAATAAATTAACATTGGTTTAAAGGAGTTCACAAAAGTCAGAAACGATTTACCGCGATAATTTCAAGAACAGCGGAAGGTTTTGGAAAACATTATCGTTCCTAATAAAAACATTATCGTTCCTTATAAAAACTTAAGATATTTTCGTGCTCGTTCATCTACATATAATTATTTGCGTTGACTGTCTGTTTCTTGGTTTGTAAGTTTGTGTTCAAAAAACGTCAAAATGTAAAAATTTACTGCTTCCATCTCTAAAATGTTAGAAAATGAATTATTACGCCCGATTTATTAGTCAGTAATTTTGAATGCTACTTGATTTTTATTTATTGTGAAGACACTAAAAATAAATCAGAACTAATAAATACCTGGCTTAACTTTCGGATTAAACTCAGCTTTGGTCTCAGGTTCAGTTATGCCGTGCTCTAACTTCATGTGCTTCTTTAAATATCCCAGCGCACCACAAGTATATTCACACTCAGAACACGGGTACTTTTTACTGTTGTGTTTAGTCATTACATGTCTTTTTAAACTTGACTCGCCAGTGGCTTCATAATCACATTGCTCGCATGGAAACTGGACTCCTTTGAGCCGACTCTCCTTGTGCATTTCCAATGTAATCTTAGTCGACCCTGCATAATTACATTCGTAACAGTGGAAGGCTCTGCCAAAGTGTTTATGTCGTTTCAGATAAATATTCACACTCAATACAGGCATGCTCCCGCTCCGAAAGGAGCGGCGGAAGGCAGGTGGACATAAGCCACAACATTTCACCTTCAATGCCACATATTAGCTTTTTCGTCTTCCGACAGCCATGAGCCACATTATTTGAGCCTTCCAGCAATTAATAGGTCCTTAAATGATGAATTTAGTGCAATAAAATTGCAATTTTCAAAGATCCAGACGCTTTACGCAAAAGATGATACCTTTAAAGGCAGTGACCGGGGTTTAACTGAGTATACAATATTGTAGAAATCTTTTTTTAGGATTCATTTGAGACATATAAAATGCTTCCACGATGTATGATTACTGAGTTTGAGTGGAAAGTCGACGTTCAAAATCCCGAATTTGGGCGGGAACGTTTTCAGAATCGGTTTTTAAAATTATTAGATAACGACGACAAGAACTATAGTAAAAATAATAAGTAAACTAATTATATGTTTAGGAACATATTGCTCAAAATAAAGTTGTCAATAAATCAAGTTAGAATCAATCATTTCGTTTCCATCGTTATATTGAATTTCTTATTTTCTATGAATTTGTTCGCAGATGTCTACAAATTCTTTAAATGTCGTCTTTTCAATAAAAATTCCAGAAAATCTGCAGAAAATATTTGTGAATAATGAGAGATTAAAGAAATAATAATTGAATAAGATTACTTATTTTCGATTATAACAGATAATTTCTATCTTCTCAACCTGTTCCATAACAACTAATTAGTTTACTGTAGAATTAGTTGGCAGTTTACATTAAAAGGATTATTATTATTTCGATTTGAAACATAAATATAAAGATTTTATATATATCTTTTGCATGACGTCTCTGGCTTTTTGAAAATCACAATTTCAATGCACTAAATTTACTATTTAAAAAAAGTAATAATTGCTGGAAGACTCAAATGCTGTCGCATGGAAGACCGCACGGTTATGGTTCATGGCTATAGAAGACGAAAAAGTTAATATGTGGCATAGAAGGGAAAAGTGTTGTGGCTTATGACCACCTGCCTTCCCCCGCTCCCTCGAGGGTTAAATTTTTCAAACCAAAAATAAAAAACTCAAGAATGCAAAAATAAGTGGAAATGAAAAAAAATTTAAATTTTGACCTGGTATATCATCGCTTAGTTCATCCTTCAGTTCATCAATATTACGATGCTTTATTTGTTTATGTTTTCTCAGATTTACCTCACTTCTCGTCACATACTCACATTCATCACATTTAAAGACCAGACTTTCATGGCTAGACTTCTTATGCTTCCTCAGATTAAACATATCACTTGCTGCATAATTACATTGATCACAAGAATAAGCAATTCCATAATGTTTGGTCCTTTTGTGTTGAATCAGTGTTATTTTCGTTGTTGCAGCGTAATCACAGCTATCACAAAGGTAATTCTTTTCTTCGTGTTTACGATTTGTGTGTTGTTTTAAATATCTCTCATTGGATCCAACATAATCACAATGATAACAGGGGTAGATATTCTTTACAGGGTTCGTCTCATCCAAATCTACAACAAACAAGATACATTTAGAATCATGGTAAGAAAGTTTTCTGATGTCGGTAAACATTGATGGAGAAAATATCAAGATTATTGTTTTGAAAAAGATCAAAATATGTGTTTTTCGTACTTTTTCTTTCCTTTAGACGCAAAAAAAACGAAGAAAAAATGAATATATGAAAATATGTTCCCACACTCCGCATTGACCGCATTGAATTCCAAAAGGTGGAGAAAATGTCGCAGTTATACCATCTTAAAAGGTGTTTAATAGTGTAGATTACGTTTTTTGTCCGCAATTTTTAGAAAAAACGAGGATAATTTTATCATCATTGCTTAAACAAATCGGACATGTCTCTCTTTTTCAAATGTAGGCGCCAATCCCTCCTATACCTAAAGGGTCATCTTCTACCTCCAGCTCTTCTTTTAGAACATTTATTTCCTCAAGGGACAGTTCAGGGAGTACAGGACCAATTTCTTCATTTTTCCTAACTTTAAAGGCAGTGTTCATTAATGACAAAAGTTTGTGTTTGACAAAGAATATCAATTTGTAAACTATAAGTTTGTAACAAACAGAACGATATGTCTTTATGAGCTCAAGACAAAGCCAATAAATGATTGAAAAAGAAAAAGAATTAACTTATAATTAGGAGAATAAAGAGAAAAAAATCTGCAAGTTTAATCCGAATTTTTATTCTTACTTTCAAAGCTTCTAAAACCATTCAAAATTTCCTTAAAGAGGGGACAGGAGAGTTCTTGGTATAAATTTGTGTACCTTGAAATGATATAATTTAGCTTATCTATAAAATAAATATTTGTATATATGATAGCTATAGCTGGCAAAACAGCTGGACCGAATGGCCTGATTTTTTTAGAGAACACATGGGTAACAAAATCGATATTTTTTTTTTTAAATTAAAAACATTTCCGATTTTTTTTTCAAGTGTTCTTAAAATTCCACGGGCAATGCCGGACACTTCAGCTAGTAATTTTATAGGAGTTAGACAAATTAATTGTGAGCACTTCCTTTAATCTTTATAAACTCGTCATCATTTGCCCCCGAGATCTCGTTCAGCCAGTTTAATCCTGATTTATAAACATTGTTAATTGACAATATTTGCTGTTGAGCTGTGCCAAGCAGCAAGGTTTTTACATCCACCCCGTTCTGTTGTTCTTGGATAAGATGTAAAATATCTTCTAAACCCTGTTTTAGGTTTAATAAGTCCGCCAGAATTCGCTTCAACTTTTCTTTATCACCATTAAGAGGTCCGCCATTCTACGCGAAAATAGAAAAATTTATTAATGTGTAACTAAAAAATATGTTGATGATCTAACACACAAATAATTTCACCGATGGGTTTAAAAGATTTTTTAAACTGACTGTCATCAACAGGCCCGTAAACAGGATTTTTATAGCCGGGGGGAGGGCAAGAGGACTATTGCCATCCCCCCTCATCCTGTGTACGTTAATGGTTATCAATCAAAATACTAAGCTAAGGAATATTTAAGAAATTTCTTCAAGTTCCAACTTCTTAACAATATTTTGTAATTTCCTAGAGAACGATTTTTGGACCCCCCCCCCTTCTATCAATTTTGTACATGCACCTCATATTTAACACATGGATAAAGTTGGTCAAGTGGCCGCAGCACCCGGCCTCCTAGCCTGTCCTAGCCGCGGCGCTCGGCCACAAGCCGGTTCTAGCCGCAGCACTCGGCCCTCTAGCCTGTCCTAGCAGCAGCGCTCGGCCCAGAAAGTGTCTAAACCCGACCCTAAACATATACTAATTTTGTTATAAATTGTTGAAATTGAAGGTTTGCCCTGGCCGCAGCACTCGGCCCCCTAGCCTGTCCTAGCCGCAGGGCCAGCCCCAAATATTTTCCTTACCTAACCTGACCCTGAAATAATACAAAATAAATACTTTTTTATTGAAAAATTTTGAAATCTAGGTCATGTACAACATTAATAGAAGGGAGGGTGGTGCCAGTGGGGCAGTTGTCCAAAAATCGTTCTCTAGGAGAGCCTCCAATATTTAATCCTTTCCAATATTAATATCAATGATTTTAAAATTAGGTGTGTGTGCGCCGGGGAGAAGGTAATCGTTGTAGATTTTTCAATTCCTGAAGTTGATTTGAGGAGGTAACAGCAACTGTTTCACTGAATTCTTCCATTTTTACTAAACATTGACCTAGAACAATAATTGACATGATAATAGGGAAGAATAAAAAGAACCTCCCCCCCAAAAAAAAAATATTTCGATTGTATTAAAAAAGCTAAAAGATGTCTCAACATGTTTAGTGCTGTAACACTGTGTTTCTCAATCAAATCTATGGGTCCGTCCTAGTGACCAGACTTTCATGGNGTCAAGACACTTTCTGGGCCGAGCGCTGCGGCTAGGACAGGATAGTTGTCCGAGCGCTGCGGCCACATGGTCAATTATATCCATGTCTAACATATAAGATCCATGTACAAAATTGATAGGAGGGGGGGTCCAATCGTTCTCTAGGAAATTACCAAATCTATTAACTCAACATCCCCTCCCCACTTGTAAAATCTCTTTTCTTCATATATGTTAATTATAGAAAGAATCTGTTTAGTTAACCATAGATTTAAAGAGAGATATGATTATTGAAGTAAGAGATCACCATTGCAAAATATAATGATATGTCGATAAATATGAAAAAACTGTACCTCTCAGAAAACTATTAAACATGATTTAAACTCCAAATCCCGAAAAATTGTTTGAAACTATTCCTATTTTGGCTGGGGCTTTTGTTTATGTATTTTATTAATCCGTTTACTGGCTCTATGTTTAGAAGGATGGTTCAGGTTGTAAGATGTTGGGAAAAGTTTGCGGCACTTCGTCGAGAATATTTTATAATTTTTTGTTAGGTCTCAGTCGGAAAATTTTCCCACCATCCCCACCTGGGGCTTATATAGGATTTTGTACGATAAAATACAACGTACTATGTAATATGCATGGCTTAACCAATACAATAACCTTGATTATAACTGCATATATGCTGGTGTGGAACTATAACTCGCCCCTCCCCCCCCCTCCCCATTACAATAATACAAAGTTACAAACTCCAATTATTGGAACCAATTGCAGATCATCCTCCCTTGAAAAAATGGGTCCCAAGTAAATAAAGGGATGTTGCCCCTTCGATTTTTTCCGGTTATGTTATTCGATCGATATTTTAAAGAAATAACATTTTTAAAAATTGCACCACATTAATTCCTTCACTCTTTTTCAATCTAATTAGAGGATTTGAAGTTTGACGTAAAAATAACCGAAATAAACAATTGTAAACAAATTTTATCAGGTGGGGGGAATTTTTCATGCACGCTTATAAAAGTTTTTCTCGTAAAAATTACCGAAATACTTACGAACCGTACCCGGAGGGGTGGGCCGGGGGGGGGGGAAATTATAAATATTTTTAACCTCCCTGAAAAGCCACATTTGGGCCAAACATAAATCTATACTTAAACTACGGTTCGAAATTTTTTTTACATTTTTTGTAGCAGATGGCGCAAACCTCAGGATATTTCACTTGACTCAAGCAATAACTAGTTTCTTGTTTTCGACAATTACAGAAAGTCAGTCAATCTTAATTTATATTTCTCAGGGAATATATTTTTGCAAACTATAAGAGCAAAACAGAGACAAGTCCATTCCTGTCAAAGAAGGACAGAGGGACTTCGATAAGAAAGACTATTTTTTCGACAGGGGGGCTAGACCCCCCTTCTCCCCCCCTTACAAAAGTGCTAGTTGCGGTTGCGCAACTGTTTTTATAGACAGTAACCAAAATGTAATCTTTTATCTTGCATAATGAGGAACCTAGCATAATGCTAAACTTGATAATAACAGTATAAAGTCAATATGGACGATAAGATGCTAAATCAAATTCAGGGGCGAAACATTAAGGGCCCATTATACGTCCATAATCACTATTATGTAGAAAATTAGTCCAGATAAACACAGACCGCTTTATAAAAACGAAAACGTCATTTTTTCTATAAGAACGAATCTTTCCTATTTAACAAAATGGGCTAATTTTTATTTTTAGGTGTAAAATCAAATTTGAGAAGTTACGATGTAACAAAGTCGTACAGCGATTCCTCTTAAATTAACGTCTTCCTTACGTCAAATTTGAGTGATATGAGGATAAAATATTCCTTAAATTTGTTAACCCTTGATTAAACTATACTTATTGTTATCACAAGTAGAAGATCGTTTGCCCATTGTGTGATATTATTTAACTATAGAGATAAGAATTTTAAATAATTCAACAGTTTAAACGTTCTATAGGTGTACCTTATAAACATTAAAAAAACTAAATTTCAGATTTTATATATGTATCTTATATAATATTTGCTACTATACTTCAGATTTTATATATGTATAACTTATATACATTAGCTACTATTGTTCAGATTTTATATATGAACCTTTTATACATTTATAGCTACTATAGTTAAGATTTTATATATGTATAACTTATATACATTAGCTACTTTAGTTCAGATTTTTTATATGAACCTTATATACATTAGCTACTATAGTTCAGATTTTATATATGAACCTAATATACATTAGCTACTACAGTTCAGATTTTATATATGAACCTTATTTACATTAGCTGCTATAGTTCAGATCTTGTATATGAACCTTATATAGGTTAGCTACTATAGTTCAGATTTTATATATGAACCTTATAAATATTAGCTACTATAGTTCAGATTTTATATATGAACCTTTTATACATTAGCTACTATAGTGAAGGTTTTATATATGTTCCTTATATACATTAGCTACTATAGTTCAGATTTTATATATGTACCTTATATACTTTAGTTACTATAGTTCAGATTTTATTTATGGACCATATATACATTAGCTACTATAGTTCAGATTTTACAAATGAACCGTATCGTATATAATATTAGCTACTATAGTTAAGATTTTATATATGAACCTTATATACATTAGCTACTATAGTGAAGATTTTATATATAAACCTTATATACATCAGCTACTATAGTTCAGATTTTATATATGAACCTTATATACATCAGCTACTATAGTTCAGATTTCATATATGTTCCTTAAATACATTAGCTACTATAGTTCAGATTTTATATATGTTCCTTGAATACATTAACTACTATACTTCAGATCTTATATATGAACCTTATATACTTTAGCTATTACAGTTCAGATTTATATATGAACCTTATATACATTAACTACAATAGTGAAGATTTTATATATATTCCTTAAATACATTAACTACTATAGTTCAGATCTTATATATGTTCCTTAAATACATTAACTACTATACTTCAGATCTTATATATGAACCTTATATACATTAACTACAATAGTGAAGATTTTATAAATGTTCCTTAAATACATTAGCTACTATAGTTCAGATCTTATATATGTTCCTTAAATACATTAACTACTATACTTCAGATCTTATATATGAACCTTATATACATTAACTACAATAGTGAAGATTTTATATATGTTCCTTAAATACATTAGCTACTATAGTTCAGATCTTACATATGTTCCTTAAATACATTAACTACTATACTTCAGATCTTATATATGTACCTTAATATACTTTAGCTATTACAGTTCAGATTTTATATATGAACTTTATATACATTAGCTACTATAGTTCAGATTTTATGTATGTACCTTAATATACATTAGCTACTATAGTTCAGATTTTATGTATGTACCTTAATATACATTAGCTACTATAGTTCAGATTTTATATATGTACCTTAATATACATTAGCTACTATAGTTCAGATTTTATGTATGTACCTTAATATACATTAGCTACTATAGTTCAGATTTTATATATGAACTTTATATACATTTTAGCTACTATAGTTCAGATTTAATATATGTACCTTTTATGCATCAGCTACTATAGTTCAGATTTAATATATGTACCTTTTATACATCAGCTACTATAGTTCAGATTTTATATATGAACCTTATATACATGAGCTAGTTCAGATTTTTTATATTTACCGTATAAACATTATAGCTGCTATAGTTCAGATTTTATATATGAACCTTATATGCATTACAGCTACTTTAGTTTTCTCTCTCATTCAAGTTATTATTGTAAATTATTTTTACATCTAAGAATGGTAATTTTTGTGACTTGCATCTTTTTTCCATTCTTGGATTTTTTTCTTTTAACTTTGAGTTTTTTCTTTTAAATTGGAGCTTTCATTTTTTTGAAAGTGAATTTTTTTTAATCTAATCCTAATAATTGTTAATATTATTGATGATTAGAAGAGAGAATTATTAATCAAGTGTTTTGTTGGATTGGAATTCTTTCTTCTTAAATAGGGTATTTTTCAATTGCTTGCAGTCTTAATATCTTGATTGGAGTTTTTTATTCTTGGTTCAAGTTTACTTTCTGTACTCGTTTATTCTTAATTAAAGTCTTTTTTAATGATTGGAGTCTTTTTTCTTAAATATAATAATATATTTATAATTGGAGTCTTTTCCTAGCTCCTGATTTCAGTCTTTCTTTATAATTGGAACACTATCTTTATAATTCGAAATTTTTCATCTAAATTGCAGTATTTTTTATCTAAACCTTTTTGGTCAAATTGGAGACTTTTATTTTTAATTGGAGTCCTTTCTGCTAATTTGGAGTCTATTCTTTCAAATTTTCTTTTTAAATAAAAATGAACTCTTCTAAACTACATGACAGTATATTTGGTTTTATGTAAAGGCATATCTTTGCTCAAAACTGCAACATTTTCTGTATAAAATATAAATTGATTAGAAAGAACTCTCATAATGTGAAGTAAATCAAACTGGTTTAATGCCTGGTAAAAAATGTTTAATATCCTTGTGTTTAATGCACAAATCCTTTATAATTTGGATAATTAATGTAATTATACTCATGGAATGATCTAATAACCTCAAGGTGCACAAATTTAATGGTTTTATACTAAACATACAATCTTCAAAGGTTGGCTAACTCTTGGATTAGGTAAATTACAATACGTCTTGTTAAATATTTTTATTAAGACAAATTATATATGATAAATATTCAGGGTTATCCGTAAAGATTAAAACTTAAGAAACTTCAGTAAACAGTGAACAGTTTACATATTCAATTCAGTACAAGAGGTGTCCCATGAACAGTTTACATATTCAATTCAGTACAGGGTGTCCCATAAACAGTTTAAATATTCAATTCAGTACAGGGTGCCCATGAACATGGGAATTAAGTGACGAATATGATATTGTCTTTGTCAAGAATTAGCGTTGTAAATTCAATGGTCAAAATAAAGTTACGTCTGCACTAGCGTTTTTTCTCTAATGAGAAAACGGTTTTGTTATTCTGCAAAACATTGTATAATGTTCTTTCTGTAACATTTCTGCAAGATAAGAAGTTAAAAGTAACAACTGCACTACTACTTAGTACAACACTATACAAAAAAATATCTTAACTCTTTAAGACGTCATTGTATAATAATATCATTCACATTATTTTAATGGGTATTATTAAGTGGGAAAAGGTTGTTATCGGGATTATTATTTTTTCTAGTTAATGTTTAGGATCAAAATTTTAAAATACTTTTATTTTGATCGAAAACAAACCATAAAAAGTAAAAACACAGCAAAACCTTTTTCGCTCACATGATACCCATTACAATAACATATAAAGTTTTATTCAATTTTACTCAACATATTTAATAGCAGGTCGATTAAAGTTTTATTCAATTTTACTCAACATATTTAATAGAAGGTCGATATAAAGTTACTTTATATCACTGTGTTGTAGGTGCGTTATCACCTTCTACAACGGGAAAAATTAGGTACGAAGTTTTAATTGTTACTTTTTCGCCCTGTTGTTGGGCGATAAAGTTATTTTTTCGCCCTGTTGTAAAGCGCTAAAGTCACTTTTTCCCCCTACAACTGGAAATATTAGATGTGATAGATTTCCTCAAAATAAAATAAAAATGATAAATATTTTTTATCAATTTTAGATAATGACTTTTTAAAAGATGGATTGGAGGAAGATTTGGAAAAATATAACTGTCGAACCGATTCTTTTTTTCTTCTCTGTAAGCCAGGTGAGAATTATTTTCTTTAATAAAATAAATATCTATCGCAGTTAACCCTAACCTTGTAAATATATTTTTGTATTTGAATGAACTGACCGCTACGCCGGTCCGAGCAGTATTATCATCGTTAAAAATGAATACTCGTTCGATATAAACCTTGTCTTATTAAGGACAGTAAGAGAGTATAGAGTTAGTTGTACACTTTGTGTACTTAAAGTTTATCCGGAGATACATGGCTAGAGATGTTACATCTTGATAAATCTGTATGAAATTAAACTATTGATTAAAATTACACCTTCACTGACGATGAAAATTGTAAATGAAACAGAATGTTCGCCCAATAATTATAATTTCTGATTCCTTTATCTTTAGAACCTGATGTTGGAAACCTTTGATATTTTAAACTTAAAGCATTTAAACTATAAGAACAATTTTCATATCAAAAGTAAATTGAACTGTGTTGTTTTTCTTCATGAAGTTTTCGAAGAAACTAAATAAATTTGCTTGTATGACCCCCCCAAAAAATGAGGGTGCTTTTAGCATTCAAAGACATGTATTTTTGTATTTTTTCCTCATGTGTCAGAGTTTCTCTCTTAAATATCTTAAAGGAATTGAGTGTTTGCCTCAAAATCAAATCTTATAATGCCTATATCTTTGTAACTTGATGGTGTAAACCTTTGACATTTCAAACTTAAATTATTTGACATAACGGAAGTTATAGTTTAAAACATCTAAGGTCTACAAAATTGGGTTGCTCGGATGTACGGATTAAAAAAATCAGAGTTTGTGACAAAGACTCAATTCCTTTTCTACAGACCAAAGCCCTGCATTGCATCATTGTATGACAATGCTCATTGTACTGGAACATTCTGTGCATGCAGTGTATAATTTTCGGTATATTTTACAAAGTAAAGCAAATTTATGCTATAGTAGAGCAAAGACTCCAAAGAATCAGTTTTGTCAATTACCATTATGTCAACTGGCCCAAAAATGTACACTGGACAGTTAAGACCACTTTTTAAATTTTTAGTAATTTTGATTTGACATTTTTCAAACAAATTGTGTTTGCATAATATACATTTTTTAGATGTATATTTGCATAAATATTAGAAAGTTGTTTTTTAGAAAAATTGCTATCATTTAGAGCATAATTTCAACTGTAAATATTCTGTTTAGGGTCTGTATGTTATAGTAGCGCAAAGTCTATACATCCAGAAGGTTTGCCAAGTGAACCTAAATATAACTGAGGATATATGTTTAAATATAACGAATCATAAGGTACTTTTATGCATTTTCTTACTTATTTTGTTAATATTTATTTTGATAATGATTTTATTTCTTACAGTTTCTCCTTTTTGATGATTTTTTAATGAGTTTATTTGTAATTATGTTTATGAATATGTTTTTTTGATAATTTCTAACTATCATTGGTTAATAATTACTGGTTTCTTAAATATCTACTTGTTGGTTAATAATTTAGATTTTCAATAAATTTTTGCTTATTTTGTCATTCATTTTGTAATTTGTTTAATAATTTAATTTACTTACTTTTTTTGTGTACAATCTTTATTGTAGCGAGACCCAAAAAACTGTGGATTTGGAAGACGACTGTAAGATCCAAGTTATGATTTTAGATAGTCCAACAAATGTTAAGCACAGCAATTGTGCAGTGTACACAGACACACTTCAACTTGTCGATTTTCAAGCTAATTTTAAATGGTAACACAATTTGCTTTAGAACATATTAATTATCAATATCCAATTCCACAGTTTATGGTACAATTTAACTGCAAATATATGTACATTATAATTGTAAAAATATGAACATGTGAATATATGTACATGTAAAAATATGTAGATGTAAATATTGTGCATGTTGATATATGTACATGTAAATTAATGTACTTGTAGATATATGTAACATATAAATATATGTTTATGTAAATGTATCTCTATGTTCATATTAAATATGTAGATGTAAATATATGTACATATAAATATATGCACATATAAATATATGTACATTAAATATATCTATATGTAAATGTACTATGTATTTCTATGTTCCTATTAAATATGTATCTCAATGTACATGTAGGTGGAACAGTTGGAGGTACAAAAATATGTGTCAGTTCTTCAAGGATATAATGGAGTTCTACAGGTAGAGAACAAAACCAAATTTTTTTGAGAGAGGCAAGTTCGTAGTTTATGCTTTGTTCTAAAATAAACCTGCAATAGCTTATGCTTTGTTCTAAACTATACCTGCAATAGTTTATGCTTTGTTCTAAAATAAACCTGCAATAGTTTATGCTTTGTTCTAAAATATACCTGCAATAGCTTATGCTTTGTTCTAAAATAAACCTGCAATAGTTTATGCTTTGTTCTAAAATATACCTGCAATAGCTTATGCTTTGTTCTAAAATATACCTGCAATAGCTTATGCTTTGTTCTAAAATATACCTGCAATAGTTTATGCTTTGTTCTAAAATATACCTGCAATAGTTTATGCTTTGTTCTAAAATATACCTGCAATAGTTTATGCTTTGTTCTAAAATATACCTGCTATAGTTTATGCTTTGTTCTAAAATAAACCTGCAATAGCTTATGCTTTGTTCTAAAATATACCTGCAATAGTTTATGCTTTGTTCTAAAATATACCTGCAATAACTTATGCTTTGTTCTAAAATATACCTGCAATAGCTTATGCTTTGTTCTAAAATATACCTGCAATAGTTTATGCTTTGTTCTAAAATAAACCTGCAATAGTTTATGCTTTGTTCTAAAATATACCTGCAATAGTTTATGCTTTGTTCTAAAATATACCTGCAATAGTTTATGCTTTGTTCTAAAATAAACCTGCAATAGTTATGCTTTAGGCTATACCTGCAATAGTTTATGCTTTGTTTGCTGGTCCTTGGTCTGATGAAAATGGAAGGTAAAATATTCATAATTAAAATAATTTAGATACTTAAGGATAAAATACTTTTTTTTTAAATATTTCAATTATGGTTCAAATTGTAGCTAATGGCCAAATAGAAGAATTTTAAAATGTTTATTTTGATATAAATATTGAAATTAAACATCGATTTAAAGTAAAGAAAACGAGTTAAAACTTAATGGAATTCAATCAAGTTTAAGAAATAAGTTTTAAATTTTTTATATTTTTTATGATAAGTAGCAAAAAATCTAAGTATATATCTAAAATCGCTAAGAATTAAATTCGAAAATTGGTAAACAAACCTTTTAAATGCAGGAAACTTCTGATTGTGTTCTCTTGTTTTGGATATATTTTCAACAATGGAGTATTCATCATCAATACTATCTGGTTTAAAGAACTCAAAGCTGAGTTCCTACTCTTCGAATGCCTCCAGGTATATTTTTTATTTGATTTGTTTAAATCTAATTTTAAATATAAAGTAGTAATCTTGGATGTTTGTTTGAATGTTTGATCATAACTCAGGAACCCTATTTTTTATCTCCAGAGGTTGAGTGCAGTTGAAATAAACGATCAAATTGTTTATTTCCTTATATTTTTTTTTTAACTATGAAAGATCCCCTTGATAAATCCAATGTGTCTCCATGAAAGAATTTTGAATGTACGTAATATATAAGTTGCTGTTTGGTTGACAATTCTTTATTATAGAGATATCCATTTCATATCCAAGACTAATTTGTATCTATATCATAAAGGAAGAAATATAGATGTACGTAACTTTATATCAGTATTTTCAGGGATTGTAGAATTACTTTCAATAATTCACATTATACAACATGTGACACACTAAACTCATGTACATTTGAATCTGAGCTGACCCGACCTTTACGTTCCTAGTTTGCACTGCCCTGTAAACTTCGCAGACATGCGGCAGGGGTCAAAATAGTTAGAGCTGGCTGGTACAACTAGTTTAACGCGGCCTGACTTTAGACTGTAGCTAGCTAAATTTACAATTACTAAAGCGGCAATTTTGCGTGATCATATAGTCTGAACTAAAGTACGTTTCATTTCTGCATGGTCATCATATCCAACAATTATAATTCAGGATGAGTTTTTCCTCCTGGCCAACTATAATATGTATGATAAAAGGATATATCAACCAGGAATACTAATCTAGGATATGACGGGAGGATATATTAACCAAGAATACTAATCTAGGATATGACGGGAGGATATATTAACCAAGAATACCAATCTAGGATATTGTGGAAGGATTGGATATATTAATCAAGAATACTAATCTAGGATATGAAAGGATATATTAACCAAGAAAACTGATTCAGGATATGACAGGAGGATATATTAACCAAAAATATTAATCTAGGATATGAAGGGAGGATATATTAACCAAAAATACTAATCTAGGATATGACGAAAGGATATATCAACCAAGAATACTAATCTAGGATATGACGAAAGGATATATTAACCAAGAATACTAATTCAGGATATGACGGGAGGATATATTAACCAAAAAAACTAAACTAGGATATGACGGGAGGATATGTTTGTTTCTTCTTGGCCTGCTATGCCTATATATCTGATATATCAACTAAAGAGAAAAGAACAAAACGACTGGCTTTCCTGGACGGGCTCTTCCCTGCTGGATTCTTTACAGGTTAACAAATATACATTTTCGTGGGGAGATTGGTTCGAAAGTGAAGGCTCTCTGAATAATAGTGCAGGTCTTCCATGGAATATTTAAGTTTTGTGGTTGGATTTTATAGGGCTACGATGAGATAAGATAGGTGAACGTCTAAAATTAATAGCTGGAATTAGTTGAATTATGTTTGAACTATGTTTAGCAAGTGGATTAGTTCTGTAGCAAAGCATCTCGCTCTTCATTAAATCCGACCTCACCTCGTGTATCTCTGAAATGTTTTGAATTTTTTAATTGTTATTTAGGAATGGCGCTATCTGGGCCCATCAAGGATAGAATAGGTTTTATCGGAAACTTCAGTTTAAGCATTGTTTTTGCGCTATCAGCCATGTTTTGGGCAATTTTCATACTTAAGGTAATCTTTTCTAAACCTGCGTAAAATCATTTTTTACCATTTTAAAGCCATTTTAAAACCATTTAAAACATAATTTTAAACCAGATTGACCCCGTTTTTTGACCATTTTTAAATGTTCAGCCTTTCAAACCCATAATGTTCTGAAAACCATTTCATGCCTTTTTTAACCATTTCTTAAACCTTGTAATGAGTCTTAATCCGAAAACATGGAGTTTCCCCAAATGACTTTAAATATTTATATATTATTAAACATTGAAATAAATTACTAACTAAAATTCTAAAGAAGATCATTGTGTTATAGCATGCAATTAAAAAATGTTGGCTTTTATATGAAAAAAATCTTTAACGCGGCAATATTCATAGTTAGTTAGCTCTTTCTATAGAAAGTTAGATAGCTCTTTATATAGATAGTTAGATAGCTCTTTATATAGATAGTTAGACAGCTCTTTATATAGATAAAAAGATAGTTCTTTTTATAGATAAAATTCTTAAAATTTCAGATATTATTTTTCCAAAATAGGAAGTTTGACTAAGCTTTCTTAAAACTATTTGTAAGGGTAGAATATAGAATGAAATATTGATGATACATCTCATTAGAAAGGAAAAAACCATTTAATTTTTTCTTAAAGAACAGCTTTGAAGTTGTGCAATTTTACATTTGTAGAGATCAAGCTGTATTTAGGACGATTGTCCTAAAATTATCATGAACTGAGTTTTTAGTATTTATAAAACCGACGCACAATAAAAGTGGTTCAACTTAATCTAGGTAGTTCAACTACTATGCATAATAAAAGTAAGTAATTAAAATAATTTGTTCTCGAGGATTCCCGAAAGCAGAGACCAAAAGAGGTTCAAGCTTATCTTGATATTGTGAAAAAGATGGAAAACCCTGATGGCCAAATAACAGCAAAGAAAGGTACGGGCAAAGAGAATAGAATATATATTAGAGTGGAATTTAAATAGTGTAAAACTTTCCATTTTGTTGTACTGTTTCCATACTGCATACTTCACATATTTGTGCTATATAACCTTTTGGGCCCTGGAATATCATTTTATAGAAAATCTAAAATTAATATTAAAAGAAAACCAAATTATGAGATAGGCTGGTTTCATAATTGACCAATGATCATTTCACATAGACTCTTTGCCTTTCACTTTACAAACGATGATTTTCCGTTATAACTATAAATCAAATGATTTTTTTTATTCACCTACGGAACATACTGTATTAAAGGGAGTGTTCGCGAAAAATGAAAGGGGGTATAGGCTTAATGCGATAAAAAAGCGCTTTTGATCGCTACTAATCTTACTTCTATCTGTTGCGTCTATAAGGAGAAAATTGTTAAAGACGTCTCATACCGAATAACATGGCGTCCATACAAATTGAGAAAAAATTGCAACATACGACTTAGACCGTAAAAAAATCAATTTAATTTCAAACAAATCATTCAGATATTACAACCTATAGTCGTCGATTATCTTTCGCCACATTTGTATATATTTGATATTTCATACTAATTTTGATTTGATTTTTTAAAATAATATTTAGCTTACAACTTGTTTTCGAACATTCCTGGAAAATATGAAAATGTCGTCTTCATTACCAAAAATCCTCGAGACAGGAATAAATGTTTTTATAAGTAACTCTCAGATCATAACAATTAAAACATATTATGAAAAATCAACTATATATAAATGTGGCGAAAGATAATCGATGACTGTAGGTTGTAATATCTGAATGATTTGTTTGAAATTAAATAGATTTTTTTACGGTCTAAGTTGTATGTTGCAATTTTCTCAATTTGTATGGTCGCTATGTTCTTCTGCATGAGACGTCTTTAACAATTTTCTCCTTATAGACGCAACAGATAGAAGTAAGATTAGTAGCGATTAAAAACGCTTTTTTATCGCATTAAGCCTATACCCCCTTTCATTTTTCGCGAACACTCCCTTTAATGTACTCTACTGCAAATAAGTTGTGAACATTTACATGATTTGTACACTTTGAACTCCCTTTCAGGCTGAAAGGGACTGACAAAATTCATACCGAGGGATGGGCTAAATTCCACTCTAATATATATTCTATTCTCTTTGGGTACAGGGGTGTACCGCATCATATTGGACCGTGCATCAATTAAATTTATTTGGACAAAATTAAATCTAAAAAAGATTGAAACATTAAAAATTGTATAATGGTAATGTAACAATTTGCATTCAGAAAATAGAAGATTTATGAGTATGCATTGCGTATTTTGTCGTTAAAGCTTGGAGCTAGTCCAATATTACGACTTTACAAGTGATGCTCTTCATGTTTACATACTGTAAAGTAGATAGTTTATCGGTAGCTTGAAACCCAGCGTAATAAGTGAAATGGACTTGTGTGCACTGCACAATTGCTGTTGTTCATGTTTAATTTTAGTTTGACCACCGTAAGTCTTTTTTAGGAAAATGTCTGACCCTGTTTGACGTGGAGAATGTGAAGAAGGGATTTACAACAGTTTTCAAGAAAAGGGAAAATAACTTAAGAACGTAAGCACACATATTAATAAAGGAAATGAGTTTTTGCCACAACCTCTAATTTTTTAATCCCTATATTAAGAATTCTATTAGATAAAAATGCCTAAGTTTGATATATCAAAGGTTTATACCATTAGGTTCCAAAGATATAGGGATTAGAAAATTTGAGTTCGTGGCAAAAACTCTTTTTTTTTGGTCGTCAATTGTATTTGAATAATATTTTGTCTAATTAACCCTATCCCTGCTGGGGTACTTGAAAACCAGGATATGCGGGGGGGGGTCAATTTGACCCCCCCCCAAATATTACAAATGATACATCATTGGAAAGCTCTTGTGCTCTACTTTTAGAATCTGCAAAAAAATTTGCAAATTTGCAAAAATTGAATTTTTTATCGCAAAATCCAGTTATAAAGTAAAAATGTTTGCAAAAAAAAAATGTTCAAAAAATAAAAAAATTATACATTTCTGAAAAGCCCTTAACCATGCCATTTCAAATATGCAAAAATTTTTGCAAAATTTTAAAAAACCTGATTTTTAATCAAGAAAAACTAAAAATGTGCAAATTTCCTTTGACAGGTTGTTTGCAAAAACATTGCATTTTTTTCGCAAAACTTGTGCAATCCGTTTCCTTATGTCATAGGCTTTCCAAAAAGCTAAATTTTATCAAAATCTGACAAGTGAAATTGGGTAAAAACAAAGATTTAGTTTGTTACAGGAAAAAGCAGTCATTCAGGCAGTGTGCCTGAGGACTCAGGCAGTTAGTATTAAAACCCGGTTTTAGGCCTAAAGGGAGGGCTTTGGGTATGTATGAAAAGTCAGAAAATTTCAACAGCCTCAGACCAAAACTTTTTGAGTTATGTAAAAAAACTACAGGGGGGGGGTCAAATTGACCCCCCCCCCCAGCAGGAATAGGGTTAAGATCTACCAATTAGAATTTGAAAGTAGACTTTATAAAATTTACAAAAAAACTCTTTTAGAGACATTGTTCTGCTAGTAATTGTATTTTATTTACAATGTTTTGCTAGTAATTGTATTTTAGATACATTGTTCTGCTAGTAATTGTATTATAGATACATTGTTCTGCTAGTAATTGTATTTTAGATAAATTGTTCTGCTAGTAATTGCATTTTAGGTACATTGTTCTGCTAGTAATTGTATTTGTTCTCGAATGTTTCCTCATCAATGGAAAAGGTAAAAAAAAAAAATTTATAAAATTCTTTTTTTTTGGATGCTTACAAACAGCACGTTCATCTCGATTTGTCTTGCTGGCAAGTGATTTTTAGCATTATCACACAAATATTTGACCTAATCATTTAATTTGGAAGATTAAATTTTCTTGTTCTTTAAAATATTAAATCTCCGATGTTTAAGGTCCTACCCAATACCTATACTTCAGACGTAAGTTTAGCTGGGATATGAACAAGGTAATATTATTTAAATTATGATGAAAATCATGCTGCAAAATAATTGAATCTAATGAATTTCTGGGGACTGTTCTTTTTATAAAACATTTATCAATGATTCTTGACAAAAATTTGTTTCGCTGTAACTCTTTACATGTACAATTTAGCATTATAACGCAATTGTTGTTAGCTTCATGGTTTTTAAGAAGTATTTGGCAAGATTCTAATCGATTTTTGCTTGAGAGCCTGCAACCTTCAAATCACAATGAGTTCTACACCATCGTTTCTCAGACGGATGGTCTAGTCCTGTTGCTAATCGTTATAGGCGCTCTTAAATCATTGATAAAAGAATTGAGTTTTTGCTACAAACTCAAATATTCTTATCCCTATATATTTGCAACCATGGAAGGTGTAAACTTTTGATGTTTCAAACTTAGATTATTAATTGATCTAGCCGAATATCTACGGTCTACAAAATTGGTGAAAAATCTGATTTTTTGATCAAATACATAATTCTGTTCCTACTTTTAGTTTGGAATGTATATTGGACTATTTGGATTTGTTGGTATGTTTGCTCAATTTGTTGCCGTTCCTTTCCTTACAGAGAAGGTTAAACTTCATGATACAACTATAGGTACTTTATGATACAACCATAGGTACTTTATGATACAACCATAGGTACTTTATGATACAACCATAGGTACTTTATGATACAACCCTAAGGTACTTTATTATACAACCAAAGATACTTTATGATAAAACCATAGGAACTTTAAGATTCAACCATAGGTACTTTATGATAAAAACATAGGTACTTTATGATACAACCCATAGGTACTTTATGATACAACCCATAGGTACTTTATGATACAACCATAGGTACTCTATGATACAACCATAGATACTTTATGATACAGCCACAGGTAGGGTTGTTAATCGTTTTCGAAAACGATCGTTTACGTTAAACGATCGTTAAACGATCTTTTTTTGTTTCGTTTTCAAAAACGATCGTTTCGTTTTCGGAAAAAAACGATCGTTTTTAAAAACGACCCACTCGTTTTGAACTTTTAGAAAACGAATAGCGATCGTTTTTGAAAACGATCGCTTTTATTGAAACGATTTTCGACCGTTTTTATACAATTGTTTTTAAAAAACGATCGTTTTTGAAAAAAAAATTATTGACAATCATGTTAACGATCGTTAACGAAAGGTCGTCGTTAACGATCGTTGACAAAGGGTTGTCGTTAACGATCGTTAACGAAACGACGAACTTTATCAAAACGGCCATTTTTAAAAAAAAGAACTTTAAAAAAACGATAGTTTTTAAAAACGATCGTTTCGTTTTCGTTTTTTTGTCGTCGTTTTCATAACGAAGCGATCGTTTTTCTGAAAAATGAAAACGTTAACATCCCTAGCCACAGGTACTTTATGATACAAATACAGGTACTTAATGATCCAACCATAGGTACTTTATGATACAACCATTGGTACTCTATGATACAACCATAGGTACATTATGATATAACCATATGAACTTTATGATAAAACCATAGGTACTCTATGATACGATTAATGATATGATTATAGACACTTTATAATAAAATTTAAAAAATTATGATAAAATACATGATACGAATACAGTTACTATACATACATACATATGATACAAGACATTACTCTATTAAAGATAAGTTTTTGCACAATTATACAGCTACTTGATGTACTTTATGTACTATATGTACTTTATGGTGAAATACAACTATAAAATCTATGTACTGTAAATTGAATCCTGCAGATACTTGTAGTACTGTACATATATTGTCTAGGGGTGATTGCTATTGCTAGTTGTATAGTCCAGGCTATCATGGTTTGCTTCATACCATCAGGTACAATTTTATACCAGCAGTTAGACAATTTTAAACCAGCAGGTACAATTTTATACCACCAGGTACAATTTTATACCAGCAATTATACAATTTTATACCAGCAGGTACAATTTTATACCCGCAGGTACAATTTTATACCAGCAGGTACAATTTTATACCAGCAGGTACAATTTTATACCAGCAATTATACAATTTTATACCAGCAGGTACAATTTTATACAAGCAGGTACAATTTTATACCACCAGGTACAATTTTATTCCACCAGGTACAGTTTTATACCAGCAGGTACAATTTTATACCACTAGGTACAATTTTATATGAGCAATTATACAATTTTATAACAGCGGTTACAATTTTATACCACCAGGTACAATTTTATACCAGCAGGTACAATTTTATACCAGCAGGTACAATTTTAACCACCAGGTACAATTTTATACCACCAGAGCTGAAAACTTTAGAATGAAATATCCAGATATCCCGTCGAATAATTAATCTGAAGATTAAAATCATGCATTAATCAAGCAATATTTAATCTCGAGATTAAGAAAAAGAGTGGATTAAGCCTTAATCCTGATATCCATCATTCTAAAGTTTTCAGCTCAGGTACAATTTTATACCAGCAATTATACAATTTTATACCAGGAGGTACAATTTTATACCACCAGGTACACCTTATACCAGCAGGTACAATTTTATACCAGCAGGTACAATTTTATACCAGCAATTATACAATTTTATACCAGCAGGTACAATTTTATACCAGCAGGTACAATTTTATACAAGCAGGTACAATTTTATTCCACCAGGTACAGTTTTATACCAGCAGGTACAATTTTATACCACTAGGTACAATTTTATAGCAGCAGGTACAATTTTATACCACTAGGTACAATTTTATACCAGCAATTATACAATTTTTTACAATTAACCCTTCTGTCCCTCATATATGCTTTTCTCCCATACAATGATTAAAAGCTTAAGATTTAGCTTTGCAACCCAATATAGACCCTAAGCCACAACCCTAGTATTAAATTTCAATCTATAAAAGAAACACTTTTAAAAAATATGATTAATGTTTTGTTTGCATCAGGGGAAGAGTATGAGTGGTTGATATACCTGGCTGGTGTTATCTCATTTCTGGGGGAATTATCAATTTAAAAAATATATTTTTCTAAACTTAATACTGACATACCCTTGGTTCAGTTTTTCTAAACTTAATACTGACATACCTTTGGTTTAGTTTTTCTAAACTTAATACTGACATACCTTTGGTTCAGTTTTCTAAACTTAATACTGACATACCTTTGGTTCAGTTTTTCTAAACTTAATACTGACATACCCTTGGTTCAGTTTTCTAAACTTAATACTGACATACCTTTGGTTCAGTTTTCTAAACTTAATACTGACATACCCTTGGTTCAGTTTTTCTAAACTTAATATACCTTTGGTTCAGTTTTTCTAAACTTAATACTGACATACCTTTGGTTCAGTTTTCTAAACTTAATACTGACATACCCTTGGTTCAGTTTTTCTAAACTTAATACTGACATACATTTGGTTCAGTTTTTCTAAACTTCATGCTGACATACCTTTGGTTCAGTTTTCTAAACTTAATACTGACATACCTTTGGTTCAGTTTTTCTAAACTTCATGCTGACATACCTTTGGTTCAGTTTTCTAAACTTAATACTGACATACCTTTGGTTCAGTTTTTCTAAACTTCAATGTGAAATACGTTTGGTTCAGTTTTTCTAAACTTAATACTGACATACCTTTGGTTCAGTTTTTCTAAACTTAATACTGACACACCTTTGGTTCAGTTTTTCTAAACTTAATACTGACATACCTTTGGTTCAGGTTTACTAAACTTAATACTGACATACCTTTGGTTCAGTTTTTCTCTTTTGTCTGTTCCTTTTTGTTTATTAAAGCACTAAAATAAACAACTTTTTTTATAAAAAAGGAATTGAAACTTGTCAAAGATGGCAATGCCCGATTTACAACAGAGATCTTTATCTGATAAATAGTGTGGAAGATACTGTTGTTTTTCTAGGTTTCTGCAGTAGAAATTCATAAGTCACTTTTCTTTTGAAGAGAACCCACAAATGAAAATAATAAATGTTCTATTTTATATACATTGATAGCTAATTAATATTTGACCAGAAAAAGCTTTTAAAGGTACCGTTGTGAATCGGGCATTGTTATCTTCGCATGGAGGGTCACATTATATTACGCTAACAGTCCCTTTATCCCTGAAATTGTGAGCTTTCTATAGTTGTTTAAGTTTTATTTGATTCTATTTGATGAACAATCCCTTTAAGGTAGACAAGAATCTAAATAAATTGATAATATTTCTAGAGTATCAATTACAACAACGACAAGGTTAGTTTGCATACAGTGAGAACCCGAAAACAGGAAAATTCTTGTCGTTTTGTTGCGAAGGGTTTTTAAACTTTGAAACTATATACACAATAGTTTAGAAAAAGTGCCCTGACACCATGGTTTCAGTAGAAGTACATATTTCCATTTATTGACAGCGCCGATTGAAGGATTTATAACTCTAATTGGATAATGATATAGATAGAGCAATAGATGTTACCGCCATACTATTTCTATTGGTTCAGAATAGACAACAAACACATGACTGAACCCTGATTGGATCAGGCGCTAATAGACTTGGCATACTAGAGTGCTGAGTATGAAACTCTTCTATTGTGGAGATCGGGATTCAATGCTTAATCTCGTTTTTTTGTTAATCGTTTTTTCATATTTATTCGATATCCTCTGCAGTGTAATTGTACCCTAAAGAATTAATTGAAATAATACTGAACATTAAACACTGTGAATATCGAGATCAATTGTTCTGGATCATGAGTTCCCAGATATGTGAGTTGCAAATCTTGTAACAATAGCAAATCCCAAAACTGTTATAAGCGACATTAGATACGTAATTGGATAATTGAAGACGACACTCATTCTCCAGTTTTCTGGTTCTTACTGTACGTTATCTATGTATACACTGATAAAGGGATACCCAGCAAAGAACGAGATTTTAAAACAAAATTTGACCCTTTAAACCCCTCCCAATTCCCAAACACATAGAAAGTTATTTCTTTTCAGCTTTCAGGAAAAATTATATTTTTACTTTAAAAGATCTTACCACTGTGCCACGCCATGACACCCTGGACTAACCAGGGTGAGATGCATTCGGTTTCTTCTATTTGAATTCAATCATGTGTTGGTTTATAATTCAACAACTTTTTAACTTTTCGTTAAAACCGCGTATGCCGACAAACAAGTATAAAAGAGAAAAAGCTAAAAAGTTACATTGAATAGGTCTAATTATGCTCAAAAATTATAGTTCTTTGGGAAAAAACCGAACCATTGAATCTGCGAGATGAAAGAAATGAAAAAGCCCCGCGATTATTCTTGACACCCTATTCAGCAAACCTCAAATATTTAGATCCCTGGTCACTAAATGTGTTGGTCCATTAGAGGTGGGGAAGGTTTTCAGTATTATGGGGGCTTTTCAGGTATTATTTTAGTAGTATTATTATTATCATTACTATCATTATTGTTATTATCAGGCGTCTGTTCCTTTAGTTGGTAGTCCAACCTACGCTTACATATACAAGGGAACAATTGAAACTTTTCCAGGTTAACAATAATATCAATACTTCTAAATCTACATAAATGTTTCTCCCCCCCCCCATGAACTCTGCCCCCCTCTGTATGATATAGCATATTTCTGTAAACCACTAAGGTCGTCTCTCAAACATTGTTTACTCTGAGATACCGTTTGTTAATTGGGAGGAAATGATAAGAGTTTGACATGATTTTTTCGAAGACTGGAGGACGACCCACGCCACCTTATGAACAGCTCTCAATCTCCATAAACACAAATTTGACAGCCAGCCTCTAATTTTTAATCTGAATTTTACATATTTACATGTGAAAATATAATTAGAAGAATTTAGTTTTTTTAGAGTACACTTTGTTTTGGGGGAAAATATTTGCCATTTGCTTTTTTGATCAATTCATGCTTTTATTCAATAATTTAGTATTTCAATATTCTTTAATTTAATTATTTGATTATTTATTCTTTTATTTTACTCTTTATTTTTTTATTAAGTTTTCTATTCTTTTATTCAATTTTTTGTTCTTTCATTTAATTCTTCATTCTTTTATTTTATTCTTTATTCTTTCATTCAATTCTTTATTCTTTCATTCAGTTCTTTAATCTTTCATTCAATTCTTTATCCTTTCATTCAGTTCTTTAATCTTTCATTTAATTCTTTATTCTTTCATTCAGTTTTCATTCTTTCATTCAACACTTATTTTTTCATTCAATTCTTTATTCTTTCATTCAGTTCTTTAATCTTTCATTTAATTCTTTATTTTTTCATTCAGTTCTTTATTCTTTCATTTAGTTCTTTAATCTTTCATTTAATTCTTTATTCTTTCATTCAGTTTTTATTCTTTTATTCAATTCTTTATTCTTTCATTCAATTCTTTATTTTTTCATTTAGTTCTTTATTCTTTCATTCAGTTCTTTAATCTTTCATTCAATTCTTTATTTTTTCATTCAATTCTTTATTTTTTCATTCAATTCTTTATTCTTTCATTCAGTTCTTTGTTCTTTCATTTAATTCTTTATACTTTCATTCAGTTCTTTAATCTTTCATTTAATTCTTTATTCTTTCATTCAGTTCTTTATTCTTTCATTCAATTCTTTATTTTTTCATTTAGTTCTTTAATCTTTCATTCAGTTCTTTGTTCTTTCATTTAATTCTTTATTCTTTCATTCAGTTCTTTAATTTTTATTTAATTCTTTATTTTTTCATTCAATTTTTTATTCTTTTATTCAACTCTTTACTCTTTCTTTCAATTCTTTATTCTTTCATTCAATTCTTTATTCTTTCATTCAATTCTTTATTTTTTCATTTAGTTCTTTATTCTTTCATTCAGTTCTTTAATCTTTCATTCAATTCTTTATTCTTTCATTCAATTCTTTATTTTTTCATTCAGTTCTTTAATCTTTCATTTAATTCTTTATTCTTTCATTCAGCTCTTTAATCTTTCATTCAATTCTTTATTCTTTCATTCAATTCTTTATTCTTTCATTCAATTCTTTATTCTTTCATTCAATCCTTTATTCTTTCATTCAATTCTTTGTTCTTTCATTCAATTCTTTATTCTTTTATTTAACTCTTTATTCTTTCATTCAGTTCTTTATTCTTTCATTCAGTTCTTTAATCTTTCATTTAATTCTTCATACTTTCATTCAGTTTTTATTCTTTCATTCAACTCTTATTTTCTTATTCAATTCTTTATTATTTCATTCAATTATTTATTCTTTCATTCAATTCTTTATTTTTTCATTCAGTTCTTTACTCTTTCTTTCAATTCTTTATTCTTTCATTCAATTCTTTATTCTTTCATTCAATCCTTTATTCTTTCATTCAATTCTTTGTTCTTTCATTCAATTCTTTGTTCTTTCATTCAGTTCTTTATTCTTTTATTTAACTCTTTATTCTTTCATTCAGTTCTTTATTTTTTCATTCAATTCTTTATTCTTTCATTCAATTCTTTATTCTTTGGAAAGAACGGTCCAAATTAATTCTTTAATTTAATTTTTCATTTTTTTCAATATAAAGTTTCCAGGTCTCTTCTCTGTGAAGTTTTTCTTTAATTACCATTTCTATGAAGTGCAATTAAACTTAGAACAATTTGTAAAAGTTTAAAGAAGAACCCAGATTCTTCTTTGAACTGAAAGAAATACAAAATGTTCGTGTTTGCACTTTATAAAGTGCATGTATGCATGCATCTAATTATGTAGAGGGCAACAACTAAAACTAATTTTGTTTTTTTTAGGAGCTTTTTTGCTGTTCAGTGCTTCAGTTTATTTAGGTAACTTTGCAAATCATTTTTTTGAAAGAAAATGCTTTTACAGTTTTTTGTTCGATTAATTTTAAAATAAATAGAAAGTTATTTCAACATTATTATCTCTATATTTTGTACGTACTATGGAATTATTATGTCTTGGAAAATGTTTTTAACAATCCAGGGTGTGGGAAAAGGGGTTTGTCCCCCCCCCCGCCCCCATGTTATATAAGAATAAGAATAAAAATAGTAACACTATTCTGTATTTATCAAACATTGTTTTTGACTTTCCAATTAACTAATTTTTCAATGCAATCATTAAGAAAGGTTTTCAACATTTTCACGTGAAAAAGAAAAAATTGCAAAGATTTTGCGTAGTTGTCTTGGCTCTGCTGGTTGGCGTAAACCTAGGAATGCGTAAATCTGGAGTTTTTAAACGAGAAACAAAATCAGATTTTCAACCTATTCACATGGAAGGTCTTCTCCAGAAAAAGGTAAACAAAGGATTGAGTTTTTGCCACAAACTCTGATTTTCTAATCTCTGTCCTGCGGTATTACCTACCTAAATCTGATTTTCTAATCTCTGTCCTGCGGTATTACCTCCCTAAATCTGATTTTCTAATCTCTGTCCTGCGGTATTACCTCCCTAAATCTGATTTTCTAAACTCTGTCCTGCGGTATTACCTCCCTAAATCTGATTTTCTAATCTCTGTCCTGCGGTATTACCTCCCTAAATCTGATTTTCTAATCTCTGTCCTGCGGTATTACCTCCCTAAATCTGATTTTCTAATCTCTGTCCTGCGGTATTAGTATTACCTCCTTAAATCTGATTTTCTAATCTCTGTCCTGCGGTATTACCTCCCTAAATCTGATTTTCTAATCTCTGTCCTGCGGTATTAACTCCCTAAATCTGATTTTCTAATCTCTGTCCTGCGGTATTACCTCCCTAAATCTGATTTTCTAATCTCTGTCCTGCGGTATTACCTCCTTAAATCTGATTTTCTAATCTCTGTCCTGCGGTATTACCTCCCTAAATCACTTCTTGTAGCTCAAGCTAGACACATTTCATAACTATGAAGCAAAGCAATTTAGCGAAATATTTTCGTGAGAACTTGCAACTTTTAGATCTTAGTGTTAGATCAAATGGACAAAGTGTGAAATATCAAAGGTTTACACCATCAGGTTGCAAAGATATAGGGATAAGAAAGCTGTTGAGTTTTTGGGACCTAGACTAAAAATGGATTATTTTCAAGCAAATATAATTCTAAATTCACTTATAATTTGTTTACCATTTTCATATTTTTCTTAAACTAACAGCTATTTAAAGCTTAACTCCATATTCTCTAAACTCCAGTTTTGATATCATGATGTGACCGCATGCACAATGTACTTTTCACATTTAACCTTTAAAAAATACGCGTATGCTTTGAACAAACACTTTAATAGGCGATTAGAGAAAAATTATTTTCAAAAATAAAGAAAATTATATATTTCCGACGAATATCAATAAATTAGGGTTTTGTAAATGCATTATTTTAGTTAAATCTCTTATCTTAAAGTCCAAGCATTTAAGAAAAAACAATTCTGAGGAATATATTTTGAAGAAAGAAAGAGGGGGGGATAGAAATGGGGAGGTATGGAGACATGATATTGCAAACACCTTCCATGTAAAAACCTAATATCTCCGCGTTATTTGATTTAAACGTGATCCTACTTTTCTCTCTTATTTTAGAGAAATCTTTCTACATTTCCTTTTTTATAAAAAGAAACAAAAGAAAACGAAAAATAAAATGAAAAATTTCGCTCAGGAATTTGTAATCTCTAATTTTGATATATATTTTGAAGTCGTTAGGGGATCAAATTTAATAAATTTGGGTTAGGTCGCTGAACTACCTACCGCCGTGAAGTTTACATCTATAGGTCACTGAACTACCTACCGCCGTGAAGTTTACGTATATAGGTCGCTGAACTACCTACCGCCGTGAAGTTTACATCTATAGGTCGCTGAACTACCTACCGCCGTGAAGTTTACATCTAATGGTCGCTGAACTACCTACCCCCGTGAAGTTTACATCTATAGCTAGGACATGGTAAACCACCGATTTAATATTTGTGGTTGAACCGTCTCTAAATTAGCCCAAATTCATTAAATCCGGTCCCAGGGCCCATTTCTGTGAAAACGTTGAGTCGCAATTTCAAAATCCTTAACGACGAGAAGACCACTGTTTTCTGGTTCTCACTGTATAACATTGTTAGAGAAGTCCTATCCCAAGTTGGAATAGGTATTGCTGAGCGTGACAGGAAAATTAAATTACACTTTCTAAAAGTTACCAATATATTGAAAACTTTAAACCCCTGGAATGTTTATTCTAATATAACAAGTGAGCTAGATATTAAAGGTTTCTGGCTCAAACTTTACAAATTTTTTGGTCGGTGCACTCCAAATAAAGGGTTAATTGTTTTTGTTAACAAATGGTATTTTCCTAGATCTTTCATTATCACGCATTTTTAAATCAACGATTTTTATTTGTTAAGGAAGCAGAAACAAAGATTTCAATGATTTTATATGTTAAGGATAAAGAATTACAAATGTTTCAATAATTTTAATTGTTTAGGCGATAAAGAAACCAAGGTTTCAATGATTTAAACTTTTAAGGATAATTACACAAAGGTTTCAATCATTTTAATTGTTTAGGCGATAAAGAAACCAAGGTTTCAATGATTTAAACTTTTAAGGATAATTACACAAAGGTTTCAATCATTTTAATTGTCTAGGATGAAGAAACAAAGGTTTCAATGATTTTAATTGTCTAGGATGAAGACACAAAGTTTTCAGTGATTTTAATTGTCTAGGATGAAGAAACAAAGATTTCAATGATTTTAATAGTCTAGGATGAAGACACAAAGTTTTCAATGATTTTAATTGTCTAGGATGAAGAAACAAAGGTTTCAATGATTTTAATTGTCGAGGATGAAGACACAAAGTTTTCAATGATTTTAATTGTCTAAGATGAGGAAACAAAAGTTTCAATGGTTTTAATTGTCTAGGATGAAGAAACAAAGGTTTTAATGATTTTAATTGTCTAAGATGAGGAAACAACGGTTTCAATGATTTTAATTTTCTAGGATGAAGACACAAAGGTTTCCAAGATTGTGTTAGAAGCAGCACCAGAGGGAGACAGGTCAGTAACATTTTTTCAAAATTTCGTATTTGGAAAATTGGAGAAAATTTATGATTACTCGCATCAAACTTTAATTTTCTGATCCTTATGTCATGGCAATCTGATATTCCAAACTATTAATTCTACTAGCTTAAATAGTAAACGTGTGTAATATTTTAAGAATAAATATATTAGAAAACAGAGTTTGAGGGGAGTAATTAAAGTTCCTTTCCTCTTTGTTTAAAGCTTGTATAGTAAAAGTTCCCAAAATTTTGTTTGGCAAATTCTGGTGAGAAATTAAAGAAATATGTAAGTTTTGAAAATCTAAAAATTGACTTCTTCTCCTTTGTAAAATGAATTCTTTGTATGCCCAGTGTTTTCTGGTTGGTTGGAATGGTATGCAGTATAACAAAATAAGGCGAAGGGGGGAAGGGGGGGGGGGGGGGGGGGGGAAGGGGGGAGGAACCCGCCTCAAACTTTCATCTGAGCAAAAACGACCCAAATCTATTCAGACAAATATCAAACAACCCAACATTTCCATCAAACTTGGTTCTAACTTGAAAATAATTTTGATTTTATTAATATTTTGCTAGTTTTAGTTGTGTGAGCCATGTATCTAGTGTATCTAGTGTATTCTGGTGTAAAGTGTCAGATTCAGAAACTTTTCTACAGAAAACCTAACTTAGGAGACAAAACCTTAACTCTTATACTCTACAGATTATGATTTACGATCAGTTAGTTGATAGGAGGGGAGGGGGAGGGGGAGGGGGCGGTAGTAAGAGGGAGATGGGATAGGGTAAAGATGGGAGGTGTGAGTAAGCATATCTATCAGCTATCATAAAAAAATCATGTTAAATCATTGTTCATTCACATAATTTTAATAATGAAGATGATTTGGGACTAGGCCGACCTTACAGTTTAACAACGTTTTTACATTCGATTTTACCTCGATAACTTAGTTATTCTTTCTTACATGTACATTTTTGAACTATTAAGCATTTTAAAAAAAAGTTAGCAAAATTCTCATCTATTGGATTCACAGGAAAAAAACATCATCAGAGAATAATCGAAATATTAATTTTATTTAACTGAATAATTTAGGTTCAAAGAGGTTGCTGTGTATAAAGACAGACTGAACGAGAAATAACAAGACACGAAGACGACAGTTATTTAAAACGTTTTCCAATGCTCGGCCATCTTTTATTAAAAAATTTTTTTTATAATTTTTGTTGAAAACTTTGTTAGCTTGGATTACTGTAATAAACTGAATGATTTTTGTTGTGTCTGACAAATTTAGTCTTTGCCACACACTCTGATTTTCTATATATATCGTTGCAACCCAACCTTATATATCTCAAACTATGAGATCTGTTAAATCAAATAATGTAAATTTAAATATTAAAGGTTAACACAATCAGGAGGCAAAGATATGAGGATCAGACAATTTTGAGTGGAAATCACTCAATTCCTTTGAATCTAAGTATAAAGAAATCAGAGTGAATTTATAACAATACATGCATATATATTTAAAAAGGAAATCTAAGATAGTTATTCCACTATTTTGCTGTGCAGTTTTTTTGTTTGTTTAGACACTCTATGGCAGCAGTTGAATTTAAAAAACTAAAGATTTGACCATTTTTTGGATGTTGTCTTGAATGATTTCCGTATTGAAATTTAATATGAATAAGATATTTATGAAAAAGAAACACAATTAGATCAATGTTACTTTATATGATGAGGCTGTGTCCTGTTGTTTACTATCGTATGAATTTACCATTTTTATAAACATAAACTTATTAAATAGACATTGCTAATTGTTAAACAGTGGTAGGAAAAACAAATGCGACTTTAAAAATCATTTGTAAAAATTTAATCTTTGCAACCCAATGTCGTAGACTTAAATATTTCAAACTCTGAATTCTGTAAGATCAAATAACCTAAGTCGGAAATATTAAAGGTTAAAACAATCAGGTTGCAAAGATATAGGGATTTAAAAAATGCAGTTTGTAACAATAACTCAATTTCTTTGTCAAATAATAATTACACAATAAACTAATACGAGCTAAAAAATCGATTCATATTTTTTTTAAATTTAGTAAAATTTTAATATTGAAGTTTGGATTTCTTTTAATGAGGAATCATTGCTATGACAATACTTTGCTTTGTTTACATTAAAAAGTACTACAGTTCTGGCTGGAATGTAAACAAACTCAGTGCTGAGCTTTGTTTACTTTCCTCTCAGAAACAGAAGTACACTTCGCGTTTCTTAGCAATTGGAGATCCTAGTAAGTGCACCTTTCCTTTATTAGAGAGATAGATAGTTTAATATTTATAAAGAGAAATACATAAAAATTGGTAGATAAATAACTTGAAAGCTAGATAGATTGAAATATCTATTTATGTAGAAAGTTGATATACATAGACAGATGGGTACAATTGGAAATATCCTGGGGCCAAATTTGCACACTTTCCTTTTTAAAATTTCCCATAAGAGTAAAATAGGTTGTGTTTATATGATTATGGGAGTGAAAACAAGATTAAGCAAGACTAGCAGTAGAATACAAATATCCTGGAATACCAAGGGGAGAAATGATTTATCTTTATTACACTCTCATATATAAAGGAAACAGTCAAAATGTAAACTTTCATTAGAAAATGAATATGCAGTATATTTTTATTTAAGTAAAGAAATACACTATACTCTCCACTCTTCCTTCGAATTCGACAAACCCTCCATTTTAGATTTCCCTTCAATATAAAATGGAATTAACACAAATATACTTACTAATGCAAAACAGAAGCTAGAAGCGATGTTAAACATACAAATCATAATATTTAGACTACAAATAGTTATTTGAACTATATTTAAGTTTTTGATTATAAAATATGTTTTTAACTTAACAGTTCGGGTTTGACATTTGATGTTTAAATAATAAAGATTTAAAAAAACACTTTAAAAATTAACAATTTACAATTTACTATTCCTCAATTGCAGACAAACTTGAAATTTTAGTTGGTCTGAAACTCTAATTTTCTCATGCATAAATCTTTGCAACCTGATGTCGTACACCTTTGATATTTGAATTCTGATATAATGAAGAAATGCTGCTTAGAAGTTCCTAGCATATTAATAAATAATGTGTTTCTTTTTCCAACGTTAAATAAGAATTGATTTCTCAAAATGTTTGGTTTAATATTTAGAGCGTTGAGTAGAACCCGGTTTGTTGTTAAACAGAATATTGATCCTATAAACTTTGCTTCGTTGAGATGAATTTAAATTTTACTCTTTCAAACAGTTTCGGTCAGCAGACAATTCAAGTTTGGATATATTTTACATTTTTGTTTAAACTTCTATGTTTATTGTCTGGACCTGTAGTCTACAGGATAAATACAAAAAGAAATAGACAGTATTTGTGCCACATGCTTTTATCTTTTTAATTTTATGAATGTACAGTGAAAAAGACATCAAGCAATCTCATGTACAGGGTGTACCACGAACCATGACAGTGTGGACGGCGAATTGAATGTCGTCTTTCACATGTTAAAACATTTGCGGGATTTATTCTTAAACTTTATTTTAGAAGTAAAATTTTAAGTTAATAGTTGCAAAATAACCCCAGTCTTGGTCTTGGCATACGGTTTATTGGGTCCAACTGTGAAAATATAGTTAGTTCTTATTAATCCCAGGAATGCAGCTTTTTTTTGTAAAAAATAAAATATGGGGGGGGGGGGCGGGGTTAGAAAGAAAGTTAAAGAAGTGTCAGAATGTGAAAGAAAACAAATTAAATGTTTATAAATAAAAACATTACAAATCGTAAATGTGAAAAAATATTTTAAAATAACTGCTGAATAACATTTTTATCTTCCATATTAGTCCCTATTAGTGGGTCTATTATCTTTTATTCATTGTCAGGGTGAAGCTACGATATTTTAAGATTGAGACGGGAATTTTAATCATCAAGCGATGTCAAGGAATAAATTCTAATATTTTCATGTTACAGGTAGGAGGGTAGGAATATATTCCAATAATTCCATGTTTAGGTGAGATATTGTCTCCTAATTCCTTGTTACAGGTAGGAAGGTGGGAATATATTCCAATAGTTCCATGTTTAGGTGAAAATAATGTCTCCTAGTTCAATGTTAAAGGTAAGAGGGTAGAAATATGTTCCAATAATTCCATGTTTAGGTGAAATAATGTCTCCTAGTCCAGGTTCGAGGTTTCCCTGATCGGTTCTCCAACTCTCAATTCTCCGGTACTCTGGTTCAGTAGGGGAGAGGATACCATTCAACTCAGTAAACAATGTATGGAGTGGAGGGGGGGGGGGGAGTGTTTCATGTCATGACTTCTGGTTATATAGGTAGCTTAAGGTCATATAAGGATAAAGAAGAAGTTTTTCAAACTGTCAAATGTTCCGTGCTTTATCTTCGCTATTTTTAGTGTGATATAAAAATCACAAAGAAAAACGTACCAAAAAGCATAGATATCCCATGGAAAATACATTATTGTTCAACATTTAGTTAAATTACATTTCTGGGCTTATTCTAAAATCTTTTTTCACTTAAAAATAAAGTATCTAACTGTATCCTAAACTGTTGATTATATTCTATACTATCCAGTATCCAACTGTATCCAACTAAACTGTTGATTATATTCTATGCTATTCTGTATCCAACAGTATCCAACTAAACTGTTGATTATATCCTATACTATCCAGTATCCAACTGTATCCAACTAACTGTTGATTATATCCTATACTATCCAGTATCCACCTGTATCCAACTAACTGTTGATTATATCCTATACTATCCAGTATCCAACTGTATGTTGATTATATCCTATACTATCCAGTATCCAACTGTATCCAACTAAACTGTTGATTATATCCTATACTATCCAGTATCCACCTGTATCCAACTAAACTGTTGATTATCCTATACTACCTAGTATTCCACTAAACCATGGATTTGTCTAAAATTTACATAATTTGAAGAAAGAAAACATCACACAGGACCTGTTGTTGCATATATCTTAGTTTTTCTTCTTTACTGTATTGTACTGAATTTAAAGCAGTTCTGTGTACTGTTATGCTGTCAAAATGGTTCTGTACTGTACTGTATTTGAAACAGTGATGCTGTTTTGTACTTGAAATAGGACTGTATTTGATTATAAAACTGTACTGTACTGTAATGTATTAGAAACAGTGATACTGTTTTGTACTTGATATTTGAATATAAAACTGTTCTGTACTTTACTGTATTTGAAACAGGGAGTAAGGAATAGAAGGGAGATATAACTGACACGGTTCGCCCTACCATGCTTTGCAGACGGTACTCCATTTGTATAATAAATATTCAGAATAGGTTATTGAATACGCGGTAATTGTACATTAGACAAATATTTCTTATTCAAATGAAGTACAGGGTGTCCCACGAAACATGACAGTTGGTATAAATAGTTTAGAAAGTCTTATTCCATAATTTGATAAGTTTTTTAATACAAAAGACAATAATAAAAATATTATTTAGGAGTCATATTATAGTAATATTAATTTCAAAGTAAAATATACTAGAGAAAAAGATTTTTTAAACGAAATAAACTGCAAACAGCCTTTAATATCTAATACAGTGTATGGAAGACGACATTCAAAACTATTTATCAACTGTCATGTTTCGTGGGACACCCTGTACCGTATGTAAAGCATGTATAATCATATTGGTAGGGCGAACCACGTCAGTTATATCTCCCTTCTATCCCTTACTCCCTGATTTGAAAGACTTATTATGTAAACAAATTCTAAACTGAATTAAAAACATCCCTGTACTGTACTGTATTCAAAACAGTGACGCATGAGCGTATACACACAGCTTTCTTTTTTCTTTTTAATTTTTGTTAATTTTCCATGGGAGTTAAAATAACAGTTTTCACTTATACAGGGGGAGAGGGGGCGGGGCTCTTCCTCCGTATTCCCCTGTGTAAACCCCCCCTGGGGGGTACCTTTGTCTGAGATTAAGGACGAGTAAAAAAGTAATTGATAGAAAATAGAGATGAAAAATATGTGTTATCCTGTTTTATTGGTCACGTTTTACGAACTAACCCAGTATTCTAGAATACAGGATAAGAGAAGATACATCGGTAATATCCATTTATGTCACAATCAAAAAAGTGTTCAGAAAAAAGTTCTAATTTCTATCAGGAAGAAAAGTCCTAGATCAAAGAAAATATGACTTTTGTTCATAGGATTTCGGCCTTTTTTTCTGGTGTTTTTATTTCATAGAC